TCCACACGGCACACAGAGACAGAACAGAACTGGCTCCAAAAAAGAAACAGGTTGGTTGAAAGGCTGAAAAAATACTTACAGTGCTCTTATTATTCAAAATGTATAAGTGTGTGTGTTGTGTGCATCAGGATAAACCAGGGCGGAAAATATTACACGGATCCACGATTTACGACAGCAGGCACTTACTGTTGTTTGCTGTACGTACTTGAATGTGACTTACATCCTCTGTCGTGCTGTCCCGGTGCAGCTCTGGCCGTGGCGCTTTGACAGCAGCTCAGCAAAAGCACAGCCGTACATGGTACCGAGTTCGGACCATAGACGCGCGAGTAGAACCATCCCCAGCGTGTTGCAAGTGCGGGTACCCCCTTTTCTCGCCCGTCTCCCCAGTGTCTCTCCCGTTTCTCTCCCCTGTCTCCTCCCAAAGCGCTACTAGCGCTCCCAAAATTAAAGCTCGGATACCTAAATTTTCCATTGCGTTAACAATGCATGCTGGTTGTGCGCAAAACACACCACAACAGGCCATTTTAGTTTTTATCTTGCGTACTTGAGAACCCTGTGAGTCAGTACTTGACTTTTTGGGCTAATGATGAGAACCACCGCTGAGGCGGAGATATTAATATTCATTCGTTCATTCATTCACTCACTTCTAAAGTTCAAGAGAGATGAGTGCTGCTGTGAGTCTAGACACTAGGGAAAAAACATAGTTCCGTGCTGACCTGTCAAAAAAATAGGGCAGTCTCACACGGTCATAAATCTGGCGTTGGGTCTTGCGTATATGGAATCGCTGCTTTACACCAAAAATAATCACCCTTTTCTGCGCAAGTTTCATATATGAGGGCCGATGGGTGTAGTCTCAGACCGTGGTGAATGTCCCCACCAAGTTTGGAACCAAACCTACACCATTGCACAGTTGTTTCATGGTAACTTCCGGGTTTTTCGCAATCGCCTTTTGTCACATTGAAACAGTATTTTTGTCATGAAAACGTTAACAGCAAATTCTGAAATCATCCGTGCATGTGTGTTAAGGATGTATATGTGTACTGTATTGTCCGATTGACGTTTAATGGTGTTGATTGATAGATATGTAGTTGTTTATTGAGCGTGGCTATCTCCGCTAGCTCCGTTGGCTTCTCTACACAGACGAGTGTATAGTGACAGGTGCTGATAGCTTGTACTTGCAGAGTAATGGCAGTATTTTACACACCTGAATCACAAACAGAGGTTGCATTGGGGCTTCGGTCATTATTGGTTTGAGAGTTCTGTTATCAAGAAAAAATGATCGGAAGAATTGCTGCTGCTGTTTTGAGGAGCTCTATAACACATTATAATTAAATATTAGAATATATTCTAAGGTTTTAAATTAATACATTCGGACGCGAAACTAGCGGTATTCTTTTACTTATATATTGTGTTAGCAGTGCGTTGCTTTAGTGCCATTTCATCAGTGATTGTTGCACAGTTTACAAGAAGTTGCGCTAATGCTAATGTTAGCACATGTATCAGATCACAAATAAAACTTGGTGGCTCCGTGGGATGAGAGCGTAGGGGAAATGAGAAGCCTGTGAGCGAGTTGGGGGGCGGTGCTAAACATTCAAACATTGCAGAAACGGGTATAGCGCCTTTAAGCAAAAGACAGCTCGTCCACATGGTCAGGGCAGCGAGTGACGAGCCGCGTCTCGCAGGTCTCCGCTAAAGTTTAAAAGTGATCAGTGTGGAGCTGATGCCGAGGACCAGCAGCACAAACATGGTCCATGTGGTTTGACTGGAGCCGTGTATTTGCAAGAATGCTTTGGGCTCCGTGACACAGAGGAGCGCGACAGACCGGTATGTGTGTGTGTACAATACATGTATGTATGTGTGTATATGTCTGTGTGTGTGTATATGTAAGCTATGTGGGACCAGAGAGAGACCAGAGAGAGACCAGAGAGAGACCAGAGAGAGAGACCAGAGAGAGACCAGAGAGAGACCAGAGGGAGACCAGAGGGAGACCAGAGAGAGGACCAGAGAGAGACCAGAGAGAGACTAGAGAGAGACCAGAGAGAGACCAGAGGGAGAACAGAGAGAGAACAGAGAGAGACCAGAGAGAGACCAGAGGGAGACCAGAGAGAGACCAGAGAGAGACTAGAGAGAGACCAGAGAGAGACTAGAGAGAGACCAGAGAGAGACTAGAGAGAGACCAGAGAGAGACCAGAGGGAGAGCAGAGGGAGACCAGAGAGAGACCAGAGAGAGACTAGAGAGAGACGAGAGAGAGACCAGAGAGAGACCAGAGAGAGACCAGAGAGAGACCAGAGAGAGACCAGAGAGAGACCAGAGAGAGACCAGAGAGAGACTAGAGAGAGACCAGAGAGAGACCAGAGGGAGACCAGAGGGAGAGCAGAGGGAGACCAGAGAGAGACCAGAGAGAGACCAGAGAGAGAGACCAGAGAGAGACCAGAGAGAGACCAGAGAGAGACCAGAGGGAGACCAGAGGGAGACCAGAGAGAGACCAGAGAGAGACCAGAGAGAGACTAGAGAGAGACCAGAGAGAGACCAGAGGGAGAACAGAGAGAGAACAGAGGGAGACCAGAGAGAGAGACCAGAGAGAGACCAGAGGGAGAACAGAGAGAGAACAGAGAGAGACCAGAGGGAGAACAGAGGGAGACCAGAGAGAGACCAGAGGGAGACCAGAGGGAGACCAGAGAGAGACCAGAGAGAGACCAGAGAGAGACTAGAGAGAGACCAGAGGGAGACCAGAGGGAGAGCAGAGGGAGACCAGAGAGAGACCAGAGAGAGACCAGAGAGAGACCAGAGAGAGACCAGAGAGAGACCAGAGGGAGACCAGAGGGAGACCAGAGAGAGACCAGAGAGAGACCAGAGAGAGACCAGAGAGAGACTAGAGAGAGACCAGAGAGAGACCAGAGGGAGACCAGAGAGAGAGACCAGAGAGAGAGACCAGAGAGAGACCAGAGAGAGACCAGAGAGAGAGACCAGAGAGAGACCAGAGAGAGACCAGAGAGAGACCAGAGGGAGACCAGAGAGAGACTAGAGAGAGACCAGAGAGAGACCAGAGGGAGACCAGAGAGAGAGACCAGAGAGAGACCAGAGAGAGAGAGAGAGACCAGAGAGAGACCAGAGGGAGACCAGAGAGAGAGACCAGAGAGAGACCAGAGAGAGACCAGAGAGAGACCAGAGAGAGAGACCAGAGAGAGAGAACAGAGAGAGACCAGAGAGAGACCAGAGAGAGACCAGAGGGAGACCAGAGAGAGAGACCAGAGAGAGACCAGAGAGAGAGAACAGAGAGAGACCAGAGAGAGACCAGAGAGAGACCAGAGAGAGACCAGAGAGAGACCAGAGGGAGACCAGAGAGAGAGACCAGAGAGAGACCAGAGAGAGACCAGAGAGAGACCAGAGAGAGAGACCAGAGAGAGAGACCAGAGGGAGACCAGAGGGAGACCAGAGAGAGACCAGAGATAGACCAGTGAGAGACCAAAGAGAGACCTCAATCCACGTCTGCAGGTTTCTGAATGAGGCCATCTTGGTGACGTCGTAGACAAAGACCACGGCGTGAACGTTCCGGTAATAATGCTCCACCATCGACTTCCTGAAGCGCTCCTGTCCTGCTGTGTCCCACACCTGGACCTGAGAGAGACCAGAGAGAGACCAGAGAGAGAGACCAGAGAGAGACCAGAGAGAGAGACCAGAGAGAGACCAGAGAGAGAGACCAGAGAGAGACCAGAGAGAGAGACCAGAGAGAGACCAGAGAGAGACCAGAGAGAGAGACCAGAGAGAGACCAGAGCGAGACCAGAGAGAGAGACCAGAGAGAGACCAGAGAGAGACCAGAGAGAGAGACCAGAGAGAGACCAGAGAGAGAGACCAGAGAGAGAGACCAGAGAGAGACCAGAGAGAGAGACCAGAGAGAGAGACCAGAGAGAGACCAGAGAGAGACCAGAGAGAGACCAGAGAGAGAGACCAGAGAGAGACCAGAGAGAGAGACCAGAGAGAGACCAGAGAGAGACCAGAGAGAGAGACCAGAGAGAGACCAGAGAGAGACCAGAGAGAGAGACCAGAGAGAGACCAGAGCGAGACCAGAGAGAGAGACCAGAGAGAGACCAGAGAGAGAGACCAGAGAGAGACCAGAGAGAGACCAGAGAGAGACCAGAGAGAGAGACCAGAGAGAGACCAGAGAGAGACCAGAGAGAGAGACCAGAGAGAGACCAGAGCGAGACCAGAGAGAGAGACCAGAGAGAGACCAGAGAGAGAGACCAGAGAGAGACCAGAGAGAGACCAGAGAGAGAGACCAGAGAGAGAGACCAGAGAGAGACCAGAGAGAGACCAGAGAGAGAGACCAGAGAGAGACCAGAGAGAGAGACCAGAGAGAGACCAGAGAGAGAGACCAGAGAGAGACCAGAGAGAGAGACCAGAGAGAGACCAGAGAGAGAGACCAGAGAGAGACCAGAGAGAGACCAGAGAGAGACCAGAGAGAGAGACCAGAGAGAGACCAGAGAGAGAGACCAGAGAGAGACCAGAGAGAGACCAGAGAGAGAGACCAGAGAGAGACCAGAGAGAGACCAGAGAGAGACCAGAGAGAGACCAGAGAGAGACCAGAGAGAGAGACCAGAGAGAGACCAGAGAGAGACCAGAGAGAGAGACCAGAGAGAGACCAGAGAGAGAGACCAGAGAGAGAGACCAGAGAGAGACCAGAGAGACCAGAGAGAGACCAGAGAGACCAGAGAGAGAGACCAGAGAGAGAGACCAGAGAGAGACCAGAGAGAGAGACCAGAGAGAGACCAGAGAGAGACCAGAGAGAGAGACCAGAGAGAGACCAGAGAGAGAGACCAGAGAGAGACCAGAGAGACCAGAGAGAGACCAGAGAGAGACCAGAGAGAGAGACCAGAGAGAGACCAAAGAGAGACCAGAAAGAGACCAGAGAGAGACCGGAGAGAGAGACCAGAGAGAGAGACCAGAGAGAGAGACCAGAGAGAGAGACCAGAGAGGGACCAGAGAGAGACCAGAGAGAGAGACCAGAGAGAGACCAGAGAGAGAGACCAGAGAGAGAGACCAGAGAGAGAGACCAGAGAGGGACCAGAGAGAGACCAGAGAGAGACCAGAGAGAGGCCAGAGGGAGACCAGAGAGGGACCAGAGAGAGAGACCAGAGAGAGGCCAGAGGGAGACCAGAGAGAGACCAGAGAGGGACCAGAGAGAGACCAGAGAGAGGCCAGAGGGAGACCAGAGAGAGAGACCAGAGAGAGACCAGAGAGATGCCAGAGGGAGAGAGACCAGAGAGAGACCAGAGAGAGACCAGAGAGAGGCCAGAGGGAGACCAGAGAGAGAGACCAGAGAGAGAGACCAGAGAGAGACCAGAGAGAGAGACCAGAGAGAGACCAGAGAGAGACCAGAGAGAGACCAGAGAGAGGCCAGAGGGAGACCAGAGAGAGAGACCAGAGAGAGACCAGAGAGAGAGACCAGAGAGAGAGACCAGAGAGGGACCAGAGAGAGACCAGAGAGAGACCAGATAGAGGCCAGAGGGAGACCAGAGAGGGACCAGAGAGAGAGACCAGAGAGAGACCAGAGAGGGACCAGAGAGAGACCAGAGAGAGACCAGAGAGAGACCAGAGAGAGACCAGAGAGAGAGACCAGAGAGAGACCAGAGAGAGGCCAGAGGGAGACCAGAGAGAGAGACCAGAGAGAGACCAGAGAGAGAGACCATAGAGAGACCAGAGAGAGACCAGAGAGAGGCCAGAGGGAGACCAGAGAGAGAGACCAGAGAGAGAGACCAGAGAGAGACCAGAGAGAGACCAGAGAGAGACCAGAGAGAGACCAGAGAGAGATTACTATAGTAAAATCCTATGAGACATATTACTATATTGTTATTATTATATAGATACTTTAATGATCCTGTAGGATCAATAACTACAGGGTTTGGATCCTACTATAATCTACTATATTACTTAGATATACTATACTATAGATTACTATGGGACTATTATAGTACTTTTGCTGTAGATTACTGTAGTAATCTACTATATTACTATAGTATATTACTATTACTATAGTACATTACTCCATTACTATTACTATAGTAGATTACTATTACTATAGTAGATTACTCCATTACTATTACTATAGTACATTACTTCATTACTATTACTGTAGTACATTACTCCATTACTATTACTATAGTAGATTACTACATTACTATTACTATAGTAGATTACTCCATTACTATTACTATAGTAGATTACTTCATTACTATTACTATAGCAGATTACTTCATTACTATTACTATAGCAGATTACTATTACTATAGCAGATTACTTCATTACTATTACTATAGCAGATTACTTCATTACTATTACTATAGTAGATTACTACATTACTATTACTATAGTAGATTACTCCATTACTATTACTATAGTAGATTACTCCATTACTATTACTATAGTAGATTACTTCATTACTATTACTATAGCAGATTACTTCATTACTATTACTATAGCAGATTACTTCATTACTATTACTATAGCAGATTACTCCATTACTATTACTATAGCAGATTACTATTACTATAGCAGATTACTATTACTATAGCAGATTACTTCATTACTATTACTATAGCAGATTACTTCATTACTATTACTATAGCAGATTACTTCATTACTATTACTATAGCAGATTACTTCATTACTATTACTATAGCAGATTACTTCATTACTATTACTATAGAAGATTACTATTACTATAGCAGATTACTTCATTACTATTACTATAGCAGATTACTTCATTACTATTACTATAGTAGTAGATTACTACATTACTATTACTATAGTAGATTACTACATTACTATTACTATAGTAGATTACTCCATTACTATTACTATAGTAGATTACTTCATGACTATTACTATAGTAGATTACTTCATGACTATTACTATAGTAGATTACTCCATTACTATTACTATAGTAGATTACTTCATGACTATTACTATAGTAGATTACTTCATGACTATTACTATAGTAGATTACTTCATGACTATTACTATAGTAGATTACTCCATTACTATTACTATAGCAGATTACTTCATGACTATTACTATAGTAGATTACTCCATTACTATTACTATAGCAGATTACTTCATTACTATTACTATAGCAGATTACTATTACTATAGCAGATTACTTCATTACTATTACTATAGTAGATTACTCCATTACTATTACTATAGTAGATTACTCCATTACTATTACTATAGTAGATTACTTCATGACTATTACTATAGTAGATTACTCCATTACTATTACTATAGTAGATTACTTCATTACTATTACTATAGCAGATTACTTCATTACTATTACTATAGTAGATTACTTCATGACTATTACTATAGTAGATTACTCCATTACTATTACTATAGTAGATTACTTCATTACTATTACTATAGCAGATTACTCCATTACTATTACTATAGTAGATTACTCCATTACTATTACTATAGTAGATTACTTCATGACTATTACTATAGTAGATTACTCCATTACTATTACTATAGTAGATTACTTCATTACTATTACTATAGCAGATTACTATTACTATAGCAGATTACTCCATTACTATTACTATAGTAGATTACTTCATGACTATTACTATAGTAGATTACTACATTACTATTACTATAGTAGATTACTACATTACTATTACTATAGTAGATTACTTCATTACTATTACTATAGCAGATTACTTCATGACTACCATAGCCGCCTGTGTACACCTCCATCATCACTCACCTTGACCGTCTCTCCCTGGATGTCCACGGCCTTCTCCCTGAAGTCCACGCCGATCGTGGCCTCGGTGCTGTCAGGGAAGGAGCCTCCGGTGAAACGGAAGCTGAGGCAGGTCTTCCCTACGTTCGAGTCCCCGATCACGATGATCTTAAAGATGCGGGTCTGGATGCTGAGGTCCAGGGAGGTGCTCAGGGACGAAGCCGTGAGCAGTGCACTGTCTGCCCGGGAGCGCGGGGGGCCGCTCCGCTGGGGGGTCAGGATGGTCACTGCATCCTCCCGGGGCTGGGAGCTCATGGTGCCCGAGGAGAAGAGCGCTGATGCCGGCTGTGAGAGCAGGCTGAGGGGGTGGGTGTGGAGCGGGGGGAGGGTGGCTTAAAGGGGAAGAGCCGGATACACGCAGCATCAGTGTGAAACCTGAGACACACTTTAATGTCAGCAACACAACCAGAGACACACACTTTAATGTCAGCAACACAACCAGAGACACACACTTTTATGTCAGCAACACAACCAGAGACACACACTTTAATGTCAGCAACACAACCAGAGACACACACTTTAATGTCAGCAACACAACCAGAGACACACACTTTTATGTCAGCAACACAACCAGAGACACACACTTTTATGTCAGCAACACAACCAGAGACACACACTTTAATTTCAGCAACACAACCAGAGACACACACTTTTATGTCAGCAACACAACCAGAGACACACACTTTAATGTCAGCAACTCAACCACAGTCTCTACACAACACACTGTACAGGGGGGTAGTGGCCACACGGGGGCGCTGTGGCTGTAAACACGGCCCCAGAACGCCTTTAAAGCTGGGGTCTGTAACTTTAAAGCTGGGGTCTGTGACTTTTGTTTTGTCCTTTGGTTTGGACTTGTGTATTAAATGTAATGATACAGTATATATATATATATATATATATATATATATATATATATATATAATATATATATATATATATATATATATATATATATATATATATATATATATATATATATATATATAATATATATATATATATATATATATATATATATATATATATATATATATATATATATATATATATATAATATATATAGGTGGATGGGTGGATACATGTTTTTTATATATATATTATATATATTTTTTGATGTGCAAAATTTCAACACAATCGTAAAGGGTCAAGTCAAATAAACACATCATTCTATTTTTACAAAATAAAAGAAGCTAACAGTTAAACAAATTAAACATAAAATAATAATACAAACATAACAAATAAAAACTGTTAAGTAATAATAAACAAACAAAACCAGACAAAAACAGTTGAAGGAGGGGTTAATGTTTAGAAACAAATCAATAAATGGTTGCCACTTTCTGTAAAAGTCAGACCACACTAGAATATTGAATCTTTTCCACTTCCAACAAAGACATAAGTTCCATCGTGTGCTGCGTGGTGCATTTGTCGACTCCCACTTCATGAGAAGATGACGCCTTGAAATGAGAGGATAATGCTAGGATCTGTAACTGCAGAAGTTAGATTAATGATCAGAGAGACCAACAATTACCACATGACAAGAAACATCTATGTTCTTTGAAAGCACTTTGGAAAAGGTTTTCCAGAATGACCCGAGAGCAGGGCATGAAAAAAACATGTACGAGATTACAGGGAGAGCCACCACATCTATCACAAATGTTGGAATAATGGCATCTGAATAGAACTTTAAACTGGATCAGGGTTAAACACGCACAGACAGTTGTCTTATGGACAAGTACAATACAATACAGTGTATTGTTGTATAGCCCTAGGTCACAACAGCATCATCTCAGAGACTTAACAAAACCATTGAAATCACCAACACAGGTCAGAGGTCAACAGTTAAAACACATGAAGAATATAAAGCACACACAGAAGAAAATGTCCATACATGTTGTAGAATGCAAAAGTGTCCTGATCATCAACAATCATGAAGCCTGCGTAAGTTCACCCTGGTAGACCCTGGTAGACCCTGGTAGACCCTGGTAGACCCTGGTAGACCCTGGTAGACCCTGGTAGACCCTGGTAGACCCTGGTAGACCCTGGTAGACCCTGGTAGACCCTGGTAGACCCTGGTAGACCCGGCTGCTGCCCAGCTCCTCCAGGACTGCTCTCATCCTCGGCTCATCGCACAGCAACACCCACTTCCAGTCAACCAATACTCGGCCTTCTCAAGCTTTGCACGCGGTGTTCTGGAGGGGTCGCTTCTGCTCACGTGTTGTTCGTGCGTGTGACCCGGCTGTCCTCAGTCTGGCTGTCCTCAGTCTGGCTGTTCTCAGTCTGGCTGTTCTCAGTCTGGCTGTTCTCAGTCTGGCTGTTCTCAGTCTGGCTGTTCTCAGTCTGGCTGTTCTCAGTCTGGCTGTTCTCAGTCTGGCTGTTCTCAGTCTGGCTGTTCTCAGTCTGGCTGTTCTCAGTCTGGCTGTTCTCAGTCTGGCTGTCCTCAGTCTGGCTGTCCTCAGTCTGGCTGTTCTCAGTCTGGCTGTTCTCAGTCTGGCTGTTCTCAGTCTGGCTGTTCTCAGTCTGGCTGTTCTCAGTCTGGCTGTTCTCAGTCTGGCTGTCCTCAGTCTAGCTGTTCTCAGTCTGGCTGTTTGTGGTCTGCTCCTCCTCCGCGTCCCTGCACCTGCTGGGGGTCGCGCGCTGTGGCCCGTGTGTCTCCGCCGCTCTCCTCTTCTGCAGGCTCTTCTGCAGGCTCTTTGCAGGCTCTTCTGCGGGCTCTTCTGCGGGCTCTTCTGCAGGCTCTTCTGCGGGCTTTCTGCAGGCTCTTCTGCGGGCTCTTCTGCAGGCTCTTCTGCAGGCTCTTCTGCGGGCTCTTCTGCAGGCTCTTCTGCAGGCTCTTCTGCGGGCTCTTCTGCAGGCTCTTCTGCGGGCTCTTCTGCAGGCTCTTCTGCAGGCTCTTCTGCAGGCTCTTCTGCGGGCTCTTCTGCAGGCTCTTCTGCGGGCTCTTCTGCAGGCTCTTCTGCAGGCTCTTCTGCAGGCTCTTCTGCAGGCTCTTCTGCGGGCTCTTCTGCAGGCTCTTCTGCGGGCTCTTCTGCAGGCTCTTCTGCAGGCTCTTCTGCGGGCTCTTCTGCAGGCTCTTCTGCAGGCTCTTCTGCAGGCTCTTCTGCGGGCTCTTCTGCGGGCTCTTCTGCAGGCTCTTCTGCAGGCTCTTCTGCAGGCTCTTCTGCAGGCTCTTCTGCAGGCTCTTCTGCAGGCTCTTCTGCGGGCTCGCTGCTGCTCGTCTCATCGTGGTCTGCTGCTGCGTGCAGACCGTCTGGCGGTGCCGCGTTGTCCCGTTGCTTTTCCCTTGTCTTCTGGCGTGTGTGGTGGTGAGTGTGCTGACCTGTGGACGGTTTGTTCCCTGAGTCTGGGCTGCAGGCGGTTGGTTTTTGCCCCGTGCTTTGGTCTGCAGGCTCCGTTTTAACATGTGTTCAGCTAACTTGCAGCTTCTGCTAACCTGTAACTCGTGCGCTGCCGAGCCTTTCATTGTGGCTCGCGTTGGGGGAAATGTTTGTTTAATCTCACACAGGAGAGATCAGTACATTTATTTGTAAATAGCATTCATCTTTAGTTATCTGAGGGATAAAGGAGCATGGTCACTAAATGGCATAGGTCACTAGTTTAAATGATTAGGTAACTAAACTACGTCATGTTGCATTTGACGGCGCAGCAAAAAAAAAACAAAAAAAAAAAACAAACAAACAAAAATCTGCGATGAGTGTGAAGTGGCATTGGAGCTAATGAACAGATAGAAAAGTGGTCGTTCATGTATATTGGCTATAACCAAAGCAGCAAAGATGGCCATATGGGACGACATCCGTTTATTGGGATGGGAATATTGGTTCTGTATTTTCTTTCTGATGTATTGTGGGAAATCAGACTCAGACCTGCATCCAGCTTGGTTGTTTATTCGCAAAACTGGTAGCTGATTCAGACAGAGCAAAAGTCAAGACATGGTTTTATTGTCAATGGTCGAGACAGCACGGACAAAGATACAACAGAATGCAGTGTATTATACAGAGCGGAGGCATGGAGACCTCCAATCAGCAGCTGCCACAGTGCCATGTAGCTTGGCCTTCAGATGGACAACATCAAGTGGAAAAGTACAGGCTTCTGCATATATAAGAATGTAGTTTAAAGGTGCTATGAAATCCCTACAGTATAATGGTGGATTAGAAAAGCGATGGGTTGACCACGGCCCTGCACCTTTCTCGTCTCCCCGGCGTGTGGAAACTTGGGGCTTTGCCGGAGTTGCGCAGCTAATTCCGAACGCGCACTCAGTTTTTGTTCCAGAGACGAAACGTGTCCGAAGCGGCGCTGAAAGAGATCCATGGAGGGGGACGACGTCGGCAATCTCAGCAGCATGCAACCGGCACGTGTGTTTTGTTTGTGTCTACGGGCGGGACTCTCGCAGAATCTCGCCCTTCCTCTTCCTGTCCTGTAGGTCTGCATGCGGTTAGCCCCGTGCGCGGGTCTGTAGGCTCTCTGCATTAACCCTGTGCAGGTCTGTAGGCTCTCTGCATTAACCCTGTGCAGGTCTGTAGGCTCTCTGCATTAACCCTGTGCAGGTCTGTAGGCTCTCTGCATTAACCCTGTACAGGTCTGTAGGCTCTCTGCATTAACCCTGTGCTTTGGTCTGTAGGCTCTCTGCATTAACCCTGTGCAGGTCTGTAGGCTCTCTGCATTAACCCTGTGCTTTGGTCTGTAGGCTCTCTGCATTAACCCTGTGCAGGTCTGTAGGCTCTCTGCATTAACCCTGTGCTTTGGTCTGTAGGCTCTGTCTGTCTGATGGTGCCTGTGCTGGTGCCTGTGCCGGTGCCTGTGCTGGTGCCTCTGCCTGTGCCTGTGCTGGTGCCTGTGCTGGTGCCTGTGCTGGTGCCTCTGCCTGTGCCTGTGCCGGTGCCTGTGCTGGTGCCTCTGCCTGTGCCTGTGCTGGTGCCTGTGCTGGTGCCTGTGCTGGTGCCTGTGCTGGTGCCTCTGCCTGTGCCTGTGCCGGTGCCTGTGCTGGTGCCTCTGCCTGTGCCTGTGCCGGTGCCTGTGCTGGTGCCTCTGCCTGTGCCTGTGCCGGTGCCTGTGCCTGTGCTGGTGCCTGTGCCGGTGCCTGTGCTGGTGCCTGTGCTGGTGCCTCTGCCTGTGCCTGTGCTGGTGCCTGTGCTGGTGCCTGTGCTGGTGCCTGTGCTGGTGCCTCTGCTGGTGCCTGTGCTGGTGCCTCTGCCTGTGCCTGTGCTGGTGCTTGTGCTGGTGCCTGTGCTGGTGCCTCTGCCGGTGCCTGTGCTGGTGGCTCGCGTACGCTTCGTGGGCACCTGTCGTACGGCCGTTGGCGGCTCCTTCCCGGCGTTCTCCGCACACTGCTTCTCGGGATCCCGGCGCTGCTCTCGCCGCCAGGGTGGCTCGCGCTTCGCCTTGCTGGACTCTCTCGGGCCCCGTCCAGGCCGGGCCCCCCTCGTGCACCGCTGTTTTGGGGGTCTGGAGATCTCATACTAACAGTCAATCTCTCCTTATCATTCAGTGTCATTCATAAATCCTTTCTGTTCCAGTCTCCCTCGGCAGGATCCAGTTCAAACCTCAGCGCACAAACTACAAGCAGTAACCAGGCTTCCTTCCCTCATTGCTGCTCCATTCTCCTCCCTGGTCATCGGTGTCTCAGCCGTGCCGTCACTGCACCATGGCTATCTATCAGCTCTCTCCCGACAACCTCCCCATGACGGCTAACTGGTCCGGAGCCCAACTCAAATCCATACTAAATAGATGCAGAGCTGTGCTGAGCTGTCTCGCACCATGCTCTCAGGTTTGCTCCGGCTGTCATGCTTCATCTCTCTGCTTAATTCTCTGCTTCTATCAGGTGCAGCTGGCAGAGTAGCCGTGCCGAGCTGTCCTCGCTCTGAGCAGTCAAACTCCTCATCAAGGCATCCATAACTGTACTCCTCACTCTTCTGATCGCAGGCTCCCCATCACGCTGCCCATCACTCTGCCCATCCTGCAGCTGCTCTGCGCGGCACTGAACTCCGGCACACATCTTCCCTCCTTCGCAGCGTCTTCCTGCTCGCCTTCTACGACCTTCTCCGCATAAGCGAGGTCCCTACTGCTCACTCAACTTCAATGTGGCCCGAGACACTGCTTTTCCCGACCTGTCCTACTATCCTGATTATTTAATCTCCACCTCAAGAATTCTAAGCGTAAGGGCACTTGCAACATAATAGCCCGCTCCGATACGTCTCTCAGCCCCTACAGGTCCATGATGCGTTTCTCTCACCTCCGCTGTCAAAAAGGAGATCTTAACGGACCTTTATTTCTCACTCCAGACATTCTTCCCATGACAGCAACCTGGTTCAGAGCTCAGCTAAAACCCCTACTGCTCCTCTGTAAATTGTCTCCCCAGCTCTACACAGCTCACTCCTTCAGGATAGGCGCTGCCACGCCCACGGCCTCGCTCGGGCTCCCCCATTCCTCTTGCAACAGCTGGTCCTCGTCGGCTCTCTCCGCTACATCAGGCCAGATTCAACTATCATTGCAGCACAGCGACTACTGGAATCCTCATAAGCTCCCAACAAGCAAGGCAGGCGAGCATAAGACTCCTGTGGCGGCACGCACTCCCCTCAACGCACTCCCCTCAACGCTCTCCCCTCAACGCTCTCCCCTCAACGCTCTCCCCTCAACGCACTCCCCTCAACGCTCTCCCCCTGCTCCTAGTTTGCAGCGTCTGGAGAACATGATGCACCCCTGCTGCCCTGCGCTCATGTTCTCAGCTCGCTCAGGCCCTGCATCTTTCTGCTCAAAACAGGTGCAGGCTCCCATCAGACGCAGCCTGGCTGAGCGACCATGCGAGAAGCCTCGCACTCATGCTCTCAGGCCTGGGCAGTGCGTCCTGCTATCCCATCACAGTCCCGCATCTTTGGGGGATTATGAGCGCGAGCAAGCGCCGCGCTCAACATCATCGCTCCGGGGCCTAGGGCGCCAAACATGCTTAATCTAATAAACTTCTAATTGCATTCCCCGTTGTGGGTCTCTCCAGGATGAAATGAAGCCTGCGTAAGTTCACCCTGGTAGACCCTGGTAGACCCTGGTAGACCCTGGTAGACCCTGGTAGACCCGGCTGCTGCCCAGCTCCTCCAGGACTGCTCTCATCCTCGGCTCATCGCACAGCAACACCCACTTCCAGTCAACCAATAACCGCCAGGCCAGCAAGTTAAAAGCCGGAGACGCCCAATTCCCGGCCTTCTCAAGCTTTGCATCCTCCGCCGCCCCACCTCCTCCTTCTACCATTTTGAGCGTGCTTGCCTCCTGCCTCTGCCGCCACCAGTGCCTAGGCCCTGGGGGGGGATTATGAGCGCGAGCAAGCGCCGCGCTCAACATCATCGCTCCGGGGCCTAGGGCGCCAAACATGCTTAATCAAATAAACTTCTAATTGCATTTCCTGTTGTGGGTCTCTCCAGGATGAACTTTCTGTTGGACACTAACTGTCCAACAAGACCCTCCTGCATCGACAAGGAACATTGAGAACTTGGCAAAGAAAGGCAAACCTTTAAATGTACAACTCTGAAGTACTTTCTGCCGAATACGAGGTGTTTTACCGTTCCATAGAAAATGTGAAATTGTGCTTTCAATGATTCGAAAAAAGCTTTTTGGTAAAAAGGTAGGCACTGAAATAGAAAAAGGAATTTTGGTAGAACATTCATTTTAACTGTGTTAAAGTGGACATATCGTGTTTTCAAATAATTGATTGTTACATCTAAATCATTAATTTGTGGCCTATATAAAGCGTAACTGCAATTCCTGGGTCTGAGTCTCATTATTTGTAGCTCCACGGGCCTTTCTTCTACACCTGTTCTGAGGTGCGTCTGAGAGCAACCTGTTTTGGTGCTGTCTCTTTAAATGCAAATGAGACGCTTTTGACCACGCCCCCATCCAGGTGACACAGGTTCAACTCCACCCCGAGCGGCCATTTTTGTAGTTTCTAAGCACAGATACAATTATCTCATAGAAACTTCTCATTACATCGCAAACATGAAGCAGTCCTTCCTCATTGACTGAAAGCAAATGTTAAGTTTCATTCTTAGTCCAGTCTTATTATCGACTCTTCTCTTTTTAGCTTTGAGATCCATGCGCACAGTCTATGATGCTCACACGCCGGTTTGTTTACAACAGCGGCCGCCTGGCGTGGGCCTACGTCGCAGGATATGACGCACTACGTTGACAGAAATGTTTAAATTGAATATTACTTATGCACAATTTTACAGCATTTAAAAACGTTAAGAACGTTTTTCCTTCTACAGAAGGAAAGAGACGCATGCACCTCCGGAGCCGCAGGTTGCTGACTCCAGTTTATACAGTATGTGGAAGCAAATACTGAGGATCAGGATATGTGCAGTTTCAACAATAAAATAAAATGCAATAGTCTACATTAAAGAGAGTAATAAACATGTCTCAGAGTGAGGGAGGAGGACACAGACAACACTATTGTTTGTTACAGGTGTTATAGAAATATTTTAGTAAAGCAATCTGAATTAACACCAAATAGTTATGAGTGTAAGTTATTAATAATTTGTTCACAACATATTACTTTTGGGCTCAAACATGAACTTTTAATGCAATGCAAAATGTAGGTATCAGAGCTTTATTTAGGGCGTTTAATCGCGCTTCGAGAGGAGAGGGGAGACGCGGACTGTTTCCTGCAGCAGTGTATTTATTGGGTGCACAGATTACTCAAAGACACGCATGGTCCTGCGTTTATGTGGTTGGGTACATGGCCACGCGCGCTCAGCCACAACACGGTGGAGCGGCTGGACGCTCACAGCCTCTCGCAGCCGCTGGACGCGGAAGCTGCTCATTACAAAGCGGCCGCAGATGCCCCGGAACATTGCGGCCGCTGAGGTGGTGGAATCCCGTTCGAGTACATACAGCAGGTGCCCCGCGGATACGCGCGCCCCGCTCCAACAATTCTCAATGGATTTACACTTCTCATAAACATGTGTTTTGTATGAGGCAGACAGACCGGCCCAAATATGGGCATCGGCCCTTTGGGCATTGCCCGGTACGCCCGATGGCCAGTCCAGCCCTGTTCGCTGGCATCCTTGAGCTTGGACTACAAATTCGAAGTGATGCACAGTAGAGGAGGGCTGGGCCGAAGTGTTTTGTTAGACGCCCCATGCCCTTATATAGCAGTCTCGCTGCAAATACTGTGACGTAATAATTCTAAACACGTAATCGAGAACGGCAAAATCAGAACGGGTTGAAAAATCTTACCCAAACAGAATATGAAGTGTTCTCTGCAACCCATGAAGAGACTGATTTCAACTTTTTTGAACTTCTAGAGGCTCCAACTACACAACATAAGGCATTTAAGGCATAAAAAGTGGATTTTTCATATGATGTCCCCTTTAAGAACAGAGTAAAAAGACGCAACACAGACGCTCAGTCGCACCACTCACATAGTCAAAGCAGTCACAATAGAAGTAGCTTGTGTCAAAAACTGCACATTTACAAAGAGAAATGTTGGCCTCATGCTCATTTGTTGATAGAATATGTGAAAGATAAGCGGTATCTGACGTCTGCTTTTTCTGTGTTTGTTTGCAGATCTACAAAGTCCATCTACAGAATGGGGTTCACCTGTGATCAGTGTGGAAAGACCTGCAGCTCTGCTTCTGCACTAAAGAGACACCACAGAACTCACTCTGGAGAAAAACCATACGTGTGTGATCTGTGTGGAACAAGTTTTTCTACAAAAGAAATTCTCAAGGGCCACAGCAGAATCCACACTGGAGAAAAACCCTTCACCTGTGACTTCTGTGGTCAGAGTTTTAGACAAGAGCGTAATCTGAAAAATCATCGGAGGATCCACACAGGAGAGAAACCATTTGAGTGTGACGAGTGTGGAAAAACATTTAGGACCAAACAGCAGCTCTCACTACATCAGCGTGTCCACACAGGGGAGAAACTTAATCAGTGTGACCAGTGTGAGAAGACTTTTACACATTTATCTAACCTCACTCGGCACTACAGAATCCACACTGGAGAAAAACCATTCGTCTGTGGAGACTGTGGGCAGGAGTTTACTCAGTTTTCCTCCTACAAAAGACATGAGAGAATTCACACTGGAGAAAAACCATTTGCATGTGATCTCTGCAGTAAAACTTTTAGAACTGTACCAGCGCACAGTTCACTATCAGAGCCACACTGGAGAGAAGCCGTACGAGTGTGACCAGTGTGGAACATGTTTTTCCCAAAGAGGAGCTCTAAAAAAACACAACAGAATCCACACTGGAGAAAAACCGTACGAGTGTGATCAGTGTGGAACATGTTATTCACGAGCAGCAAATCTCAAGGTCCACAGCAGAATCCACACAGGAGAAAAAACCCTTCAGCTGTGATGTTTGTGATCAGAGTTTTTCTCACAGTGGTTATCTCAAAGTTCATCAGAGGATCCACACTGGAGAGAAACCATTTGTCTGTGAAAAATGTGGAAAGTCTTTTACTCGTGGGTCATCTCTTTGTCGTCACATGAAAACGTGTGAGAAGCAGCATCTGGAACAAAGTGAAGGAGACAGAGCTGAGGCTGCATCATGTGAACCCAGAGTCAGACTCTACAGGATCACACTTCAGTCTTAACCCTGTGCTGCAGCTGCTGAGCTTTACAGACCAAACACTTATTGTGGATTTGAACATCTTTACTTTGTGTCTGGAGACTCGGACACATCATGTTTTTGTCTGAAAGGAAAATCTTATGGTTCCTTTAAAGCTGCATCAAGTCTAAGATTCAAACTGACATGTGATGAAGAAGGAGACAGAGCGGGGACATTATTATTCTGAACTAAACCGCAGATAAAAACTATTGAGCTTGAGACCCTAATCTGTTATAATACATGTTTGTTATGTTGCCTATTGTGCTTACTGTATACACACATGTAAATATATAAATAAATAAATATACAATCAAGCAGCAGTACTTTCCATAGTTTCATGTGTTTTAGTTTATCTTCAGTTTCAATGTTTGTACAAATGTTTGCCCACCACTTGTGTTTCCAAGTGGTGGGCTCTAAATGGAGAAAGAAGTAAAAAGGTGCACCCTCCCCATGAACATACAGAGCATATATATTAAACATGTGTTTCTTCTGCCGCTTTAGGACAAAGGATGCATTTTAGCTTTTGTGCTAATTCCAGCATCTTGATGTTGAAGCCGTTTCTGACACATTCATATGTACTGCCCTCATTCAAATAAATGAACTGATGAATACAAATATGTCGTCTGTTTGGGACCATGAAGGAAGATCAAAGGAGGAAAACTAGTCCAGACAATAATGCAAGTTCAGTTGATTTGTCCTTTCTAAATCCATATTGATTGTTAGGATGTTGTGTTTTTCAAAGGGCTTGACTTCTCGGACACTCGAACAACAAATATCTGAGACAGACATGAACGATTTACGAGTGCAGGAGGTAAAGCATCTTCGTGCTCAAAATGAAGAGAGAATTGCGCACCTTGAGAGTCGGGTGGCGGATCTAGAACAATACATGAAAATTCCGATCAGATTCAGAATTTATTTCAGATCGACATTAATTGATTAGCTCAAGGGTACAAACGTCTATCTCAATGAACACTTGACAAAGCAGAACGCCGACATTGCCAAACAAGCTAGATACCTCAAGAAGATGAAGAAAATACAGCACACATGGACTGCGAGCTGCAATGTGTTCATAAAGCTAAAAGGTCCAAAGGTAGCAAAGGTACTAGTGGTAAGGAGTGCGGAGGAGTCGGTCAGATACCAATAGATAAACAAGAATGAACATGTGAGGTAAGATGAACTCAGTGATCAAAATGGCAAACACAAGGACAAATAACTCTACATTAGAAGGGAGTTCAATAAACAAAGGGCTTGACTTCTCGGACACTCGAACATTTACATTGAGCCGGACACTGATCGTGTGTCAAAACCGTAAATTCTGTATTTCCTGGTTTTAAAAAAAGACTGGCTAACTGCGAGTGTAGCACCTAGAATAAGTCCATCCATCCATCCATTTTCTACCCTTTAATCAATTTCTGGGTCAGGGGGGTGGCAGTCAGAGATGCCACCCAAGTCTCATAGCACCAGCCCCTCACTGACCCTCTGCAGGTGGTGAGTCCACAGGAGGACGGCTGCTCTCTGAGTGTGAGCATAGCCTTGATCTTTCAGTGGGGGCTTTGGGCAAAGTGGGGTTAAGTGTCTTGCCCAAGGACACAACGACAGCAGTCATTAGTGGGAGTCGGTGGAGAAGGTGCAGAGGTGGGAATAAGTGTGTTAGCTTATTTCATTTTGAAGAAATAATTGTCCTTGTGTTAAAGTAACGGTATTGCATAGAAATACAATAGTTAACAGGGAGCGCGCGCGGCCCTGGTATATAACAGTGAGGATTTTGAAAAGCGGGGTGTCCTGAAGGACCTGTCTTTGTGATCAGCTGCTGTCTGTTTGTACCTTTCTTTCCGTTGTGTTTTCCGGAGAAATTAAAGAGCTCATTTTTTTCTACACCAAGTTGTCAGAGTGGTGTAACATTTTGGAGGTTCTACGGAGATCGTTTTTTTTCTCACGGAGAGCAAGTGGAAGAGACCGCGGAGACGGTAAAGTGGCGAGAGCGAGTGCGCAACGGACCGTTATCCAAGTTAACTCCGTAACAAGGGACTAACGGCAGACATGTCAGAGCAGCGTGAAGACTACAACAGAAGTTATGTGGACTTTCATTCAACGAACTGCTAAGAGTATGTGTTTTTTGTAACATCACTGCTCCAAATGACATTACGCGCAGAAGCCGCAGAGCCCTAATCAAGCTCATCTGTGATTTTTGTGACCGGGATGAGCTGCTGGTGAGTGAGGACGAAGGCTTGTCTAATCTGTTGGAGCTAAATGATGTACTGGACTCGTTGGTGGAAGAGAGGGCCGCACTAACGGCTGCTGCATCAACGGCTGGGACCAGGTCTACACGCGCTTCCAGCGTTACCATGGCAACGGCGGAGGTCGCGAGCGCGGAGCAGTTCGGAGAGTCTGGGGACCAAGCAGCGTCTTTGACGCTCTCATCGCTGGAACAGCGGGCCGCGCCGAGGACAACGCTGGACAACGGGATTCCACACAAAACCAGAGAATCTACAAGCAACAGCTGCTGTGGAGTTTTCACTGGCGGATTAAAAAAAGATTTTCGCATCAATGGTCACGTGGGTGAGTCAACATCAAGAGACAACCTGAGCTTCAGTAGCCTCGAACATCAGATAGAAAGTGGTTTGAGAAAGGGCTACTCTGATGCTGAAATAGTGGAAGCTGTAGTTCGTGCCATAAGCCCTGGACTGAAGCTAAGGAGCTATTTAGAACGAAAGATAAATCTCACTGTGACCAACTTAAGACAGATTTTCAGAGCCCATTATGTGGAGAAAGACGCAACTGTGTTATATCAGCAACTAACCAAAGCAACACAAGGAGGGAATGAAACTTCCATTGAGTTTCTGATTAGAGTGCTTGATTTACGTCAGAAAATCCAGTTTGCATCAGAGCGCACACAAACTAGGCTCAAGTATAACAAGGAGCTAGTACAGAGCCAATGTTTCCAATCAATTATGACTGGACTGTTACATGACAACATCAGGAATGAAATGAGGATGTATCTCCAGGATGAGAACAGCACAGATGAGCTCCTACTGGAGAAGATGCAAATTGCACAGTACAATGAAAGTGAAAGAGCTCTAAAAATCAAAGCAAACAAGAATTTTAGAGCAGCACTAAATGTTGTGGAGCAGTCGGAATCACAAAACGATTCCTGCTCTAGTCAGCTTGCAACAAAAGCTAAACCAACCAAAGACAATTCACTCTACTCAAAAATAGAGGAAAGCAACACAGCCATCAGAGAACTCATGGTCAAGTAGCTGCACTTATGCAAAATGTTCTCTGTGGCAACAAACCATTCAAAAAGTCAGTGCCAAGACAGAGGAGACAATGTACTGCATGTCACGAAGAAAAGAAAGACTGTAACCACTGTTTTAAATGTGGCAGTGACTCACACTGGGCTAAAGGGTGTAGAGTAGGGAGAACGCAGGATCAGGGAAACTAGAGAAAGCTGTGACTGAGGGACGTGCCACAGCTCAGAGTTTCAAGTCCCAGAGTGTTAAACCCCAAAACTCTAAAATTGTCCAAAAGATACAGTCAAACTGTAGAGGCAAACAAAAAGTGTCACAACATGATTTTAGTCTTGCAAAAACTGACCAACCATGCAGCTTGGTTAACCCTATAGTAAAACGGAATAGAGTAGCACAGCTGGTGGGTAAAAAGTGTCTAGTTTGGTGCAGAATAGGAAAGTTTAAACCCCAGGCCTTGTGGGACACCGGAGCCCAGGTTTCAATCATTAGTGAGTCATGGAAAACTAATAACCTTCCTGATTTAAAAGTGCATCCTGTTAGTGATTTACTAGGAAATGGTGAACTTTTAGATTTGAGAGCAGTAAATGGGTCCGAGATTCCATTTCAGGGCTGGGTTGAGGCTAGTCTTAGCCTTTGTGATCCAAAAGGAAAATCTCAAAATGAAATGTTGGTTCCAATCTTAGTCAGTCGTGACACTATGCAAAAACCAATAATAGGATTTAATGCTATTGAGGAACTGATTAAACAGGACCATACTGAGTCAAGTGACAGAGTAGCCTTATTGAGAAACTCACTAAAAGTAGGTGCGGGAAAGGCAGCAGCCCTTTTGAGCCTTATCTATTCAGCTACTGATGAAACAGTCTGTTATCCAGTCAGGACAGGGCGCACTGCAGTTATTGTGCAAAGTGGCCAAATACACTGTATTAGCTGTCCTATTAAAGCAGATGTGAGAGGACAAACTGAAATGCTTTTTGAGCCAGATGAGAACCTCTCCTTAGATGAAGAGTTAAAGTTTAACTGTCAGGTGTTGGGTGTATCTGGCACATCAAAAAAAGCGAACATTTACGTTACAAATATTACCAAACGTGACATAGTTTTATCAGCAAAGACATTTTTAGGCAGCATAGAGAGAGCAACACACTGCTATCCAGTTAATCTTGATCAGGTTCAGGATTGCTCAGTTGTTGTTGAAAGCTCTCACTCAAGCTTGGAAAAGTCATGTGACCCATCAGTTAACTTAAGTCACCTCACACCAGACCAACAAGTGGTCGCCATGGAGATGCTGAGGAAGGACTCAGGTGCATTTGCAAAGAACAAAGATGACATTGGCTATGTTAAAAACTTAAAAATGGACATTAAATTGACAGATCAGAATCAGAATCAGAATCATTTTTATTGCCACGTAAGTAACAGGAGGTCACAGACTTGGAAATTGCTTTGGCTCAGTGCAACAGTCAGAAAGAGATAATAAAAATAAGAATAAAAAACACTTCTAAAGAATAAATTTAAATTTAAAATAGAGTTACAGTTACTATTTACAATATACAAGTGCACATGGTGCACACAATGTAAGGTGACAGCAGTACAGTGAAGTAAAGTGACGTATGATGGGCAGTAAAGTGACTTTATAAAGGGCGGGGGGACAGGTTAAGAAGTGTTCAAGAGTCCAACAGCAGAGGGGAAGAAACTGTTCTTGTGACGGGAGGTTATAGTCCTGATCGACCGCAGCCTCCTGCCTGAGGGGAGTGATTGGAATTGTCCATGTGCAGGGTGAGAGGGGTCGGCTGTGATACGACCAGCCCGGCCTCGAGCTCGGGCGACGTACAGGTCCTGCAGCGATGGAAGGCTGCGGCCGATCACTTCCTCTGCACAGCGCACAATGCACTGTAGTCTCTGTTTGTCCCTGACTGTGGCTCCAGCGAACCACACAGTGATGGAGGAGGTGATGGAGGAGGTGAGGATGGACTCGATGATGGGCGTGTAGAACTGCACCAACATCTGTGCAGGCAGCTTGGCTTTCCTGAGCTGCCGCAGGAAGTACATCCTCTGCTGGGCCTTCTTGATGAGGGAGCTGATGGTCGGCTCCCACTTGAGGTCCTGGGTGATGGTGGTGCCCATCACGGAGGGTGGGGGCGGGGGGACAGTGCTCTTCCTGAAGTCCACAATCATCTCCACTGTCTTCTGGGCGTTCAGCTCCAGGTTGCTTCCACTGCACCAGGACACCAGCCGGTCCACCTCCCTCCTGTAGGCGGACTCATCGTTGTCGGAGATGAGTCCAATGAGGGTGGTGTCGTCCGCGAACTTGATCAGCTTCACGGAGTCGTGGCTGGAGGTGCAGTGGTTGGTGTACAGGGAGAAGAGCAGGGGAGAAAGAACACAGCCCTGTGGGGCTCCTGTATTTATAATCCGAGAGTCCGAGACATTCTTCCCCAGACGCACTCGCTGCTTCCTGTCCGTCAGGAAGTCAGTGATCCACCTGCAGGTGGAATCGGGCACGTTGAGCTGGGAGAGCTTGTCCTGGAGCAGGGATGGCAGGATTGTGTTGAAGGCAGAGCTGAAGTCCACGAACAGGACCCTGGCGTAGGTCCCCGGGGAGTCCAGGTGCTGTAGGATGTGGTGGAGGGCCAGGTTAATGGCGTCGTCTACAGATCTGTTGGCTCTGTAGGCGAACTGCAGGGGGTCCAGGAGGGGGGAGGTGAGGGACTTGAGATGGGAGAGAACCAGGCGTTCAAATGACTTCATGACGACAGACGTAAGTGCTACAGGTCTGTAGTCATTGAGTCCTGTGATCCTGGGCTTCTTCGGGACGGGGACAATGATGGAGGATTTGAAGCAGGCCGGGACATGGCAGGACTGCAGAGAGGAGTTGAAAATGTCCGTGAACACAGGAGTAAGCTCACTGGCGCAGTGTCTCAGAGTGGCCGGAGACACGTGGTCCGGGCCAGGAGCTTTGCGGGGGTGCAGCCTCAGGAAGAGTTGTTTAATCTCTTTAGCGGCTATTGTTAGGCTGGGGGCAGGGCTGATGGGTGGGTCGTTAGAGTAGTGGGGGGTGGGGGAGGGAGAGGTGTCAGGGGCAGCATCAAAGCGACTGAAAAATAAGTTCAGATCGTCAGCTAGCTTGTGGTCATCAGCACAGGGGGGGGCTTTGGGTTTGTAGTTGGTGATCTCCCGTAGGCCCCTCCAGACAGAAGCAGTATCGTTGTTACCAAACTGCTCCTGTAGTCGTTCTCTGTGCCGGGACTTGGCTGCTTTCAGTTCTTTCCTGAACTGATATTTAGCTGCTTTGTAGCCGCTGCGGTCCCCCTCCCTGAAAGCAGACTCCTTTGCTTTCCTGAGCTGCCGGAGTTTAGCAGTGAACCAGGGTTTGTCGTTGTTATAGATGACCCTGGTCCTTGTTGGAATGATGCTATCCTCACAGAAGTGGATGTATGACGTCACAGTGTCCGTATATTCATCCAAGCTGTCTGTGGCAGCTCTGAAAAGGTCCCAGTCTGTAGATTCCATGCATGCGCGCAGCTCTTCCACAGCTTCATCAGACCACACTTTGGAGCTCCTCACTGCAGGTTTCGAGAGCTTTAGTCTCTGTCTGTAAGCAGGAACCAGATGTATCATGGAGTGATCTGAGAAGCCGAGGGCTGGCTTGGGAACAGCGCGAAAAGCTCCGCGCACGGTGGTGTAACAGTGATCCAGAGTGTTCTCCTCTCTGGTCGGGCATTTGATAAACTGTCTGTATTTGGGTAATTCCTGGCTCAAGTTTCCCTTATTAAAATCCCCCAGGATAATAATCAGAGAGTCCGGGTATAAGCGTTCCATACACAGTACTTGCTCTGCGAGTGCGCGCTGAGCCTCGCGCGCGTCCGCGCATGGCGGTATGTAAACAGAGGCAAGAATGAATGAAACAATTTCCCGCGGGGAGTAATATGGTTTACAATGAATGAAAAGATATTCCAGAGCAGGAGAGCAGTGCTTGGAGATCACTGTCACATCGTTACACCAGTTTGTATTGACGTAGAAACAGAGCCCTCCGCCTCTGCTCTTCCCTGAGAGCGCACAATGGCGATCCGCGCGAAACAGCCCAAAGCCCTGCAGCTCCAGAGCGCAGTCCGGGATCCGCTCATTTAGCCAGGTCTCAGTGAAGCAGAGGACACAGGATGTGGCGAAGTCCTTGTTTCTTCTCATGAGCAGGCTGAGTTCGTCCATCTTATTGCCCAGTGAGCGTACGTTGGAGAGAAAAATGCCGGGGAGAGCCGTGCGCGCTCCTCTCCTCCTAAGACGCACGAGCAGGCCTCCTCGCTTTCCCCTTTTACGGGCCCACACTTTTTTGGCTAGAACATGAACTAAATCAGCCGCAGATGCCAAGAAAACAGGCAATAGGTCCATGGGAACGGTGGGTCGGATGTTCATAAGTTCCTCACGGGTGTAGGAACAGCCAGATGCACAGTTAAAAAGTAAAAACAAAAGAAAAAGAGAGCAGCAAAGAGCCATGTCGACCGTACGAGGCGCCATCTTTTAAAAAGATACATTCGCATCCACAGGCAATATTACAGACTACCAGAGGGGACACTGGAGCTGGCCAAAATCAGCAAAGTGTTGATGGCCATGGAGCAGGGAAGAGTGACGGAATTCGAAGGAAAGAGCCTCGACCAGATACAAATTGAGCCTGAAGGTAATTCTTGATATTATTAAAATATGTATGATTTTTTTCCCCTAAAGGCCACTTGTATTTTTATTTTCTGTGCGACAGGGAGAGCAGTAGAGATCCTCTCACAAACGGACGGGCTAAAAGAAACTTCAAGCGGAGAACCTTCAACCATTCATCCAGATGCACCCCATGGTAGTGGCAGTGCCCCTTCTGGTAAGTGTACCAGGTGGGGGATTACAGCCAGGCTGCTTGGTCCTAACCCTGGGAGTGTATATTGCTAATATATTTTTATTTCTCTCCCTAGAACGTGTAAGAAAGCCATGGTCTGCATCTGAGGTGAAGGCTGTGGAGAAGACCATGACACCTTTCATACAGACTGGAAAGGTCCCTGGGAAGTCTCACTGCCTGGCCTGCATTAATGCCTCACCAGATGACCTTAGACATCGGACATGGAGTGGCATTAAATTCTATGTCAAAAATAGAATCACTGCAATTCGAAAACAAAATCTAAAATAAAATTCCTTTAAAATAGTTGTTTGGTTTCTATTGACTGTTTTGTATTACTTAAAGTCTTGGTAAAAAAAGATTATGTCTATGGGTCCCATTCTGAACGGCCCTGTCAAAGGGACCCACCAGGTAACAAAAACGTGTATGTGTGTGTCTGTGTGTGTGTGTGTGTGTGTGTGTGTGTGAATGGTTGGTGGTGGTGGGAGGGGCCGATGGCGCAGATTGGTTGCCTCGCTTCTGTCAGTGTGCCCCAGGGCAGCTGTGGCTACAGTAGTAGTTTATCACCGCTGTGTTTATAGAGAGAGAGAATGATGTGACTTTGAGAGTCTGAAAAGAGCTGTATTAAAGCGATGCATTATTATTATTAGAGGCAGGAACTACAACTTGCATTTCATGATAGTCCCATTGTTGTGGTTTGAAAATCACGTACCCCAGCTTTAACGCGCAGTCGTAACCGTTGTTCCCGTGCTGTTCCTGCAGAGAGCTCCACTTCTCTGAGTCTGGAGCAGAGGAAAACCCGGAGCACGTCACAACAGAAGCAGCATCATCCTCCATCAACAACACGGCTAACGGCTAACACGGAGCTAACGGGAGCTAACGGGAGCTAACGGGCTAATGCTCCGCGAACACTTTACCACATCATCCCTCCACAGAACCTCCCGCTGCTGAGAACCACCCACTGACCACGCACCGGCCCCGGGAACACCGGCCCCGGGAACACCGCTCCCGCTGTCCGCCCTCGGAGCCTCTGCTTGCGGACTGCAGCAGGCTACTTTGTCCGAGCCCCTTAGCCTAGCCTAGCCTAGCCTAGCCTAGCCTAGCCTAGTCTAGCTAAGCAGCAGCAGCTATGGAAGAGCTGGTGGTGGAGGTACGGGGGACCAGCGGAGCGTTTTATAAGGTATTTCCCTGCTCTATAATCATACAAACCAGGATGTGTTAAAGCAGCACTGCTAACCACGCTCACGTGTGTTAAAGCAGCACTGCTAACCACGCTCACGTGTGTTAAAGCAGCACTGCTAACCACGCTGTGTTGTTGAGTTCCTCAGGCCGTCAGTGTTCATCAGTGTTTCAGATGGACCTGTTCTAATGTCATTATTATTGTTGTGTTGTTGGGTTCCTCAGGCCGTCAGTGTTCATCAGTGTTTCAGATGGATCTGTTCTAATGTCATTATTATTGTTGTGTTGTTGGGTTCCTCAGGCCGTCAGTGTTCATCAGTGTTTCAGATGGACCTGTTCTAATGTCATTATTATTGTTGTGTTGTTGTGTTCCTCAGGCCGTCAGTGTTCATCAGTGTTTCAGATGGATCTGTTCTAATGTCATTATTATTGTTGTGTTGTTGGGTTCCTCAGGCCGTCAGTGTTCATCAGTGTTTCAGATGGACCTGTTCTAATGTCATTATTATTGTTGTGTTGTTGGGTTCCTCAGGCCGTCAGTGTTCATCAGTGTTTCAGATGGACCTGTTCTAATGTCATTATTATTGTTGTGTTGTTGGGTTCCTCAGGCCGTCAGTGTTCATCAGTGTTTCAGATGGACCTGTTCTAATGTCATTATTATTGTTGTGTTGTTGGGTTCCTCAGGCCGTCAGTGTTCATCAGTGTTTCAGATGGACCTGTTCTAATGTCATTATTATTGTTGTGTTGTTGGGTTCCTCAGGCCGTCAGTGTTCATCAGTGTTTCAGATGGACCTGTTCTAATGTCATTATTATTGTTGTGTTGTTGGGTTCCTCAGGCCGTCAGTGTTCATCAGTGTTTCAGATGGATCTGTTCTAATGTCATTATTATTGTTGTGTTGTTGTGTTCCTCAGGCCGTCAGTGTTCATCAGTGTTTCAGATGGACCTGTTCTAATGTCATTATTATTGTTGTGTTGTTGTGTTCCTCAGGCCGTCAGTGTTCATCAGTGTTTCAGATGGATCTGTTCTAATGTCATTATTATTGTTGTGTTGTTGGGTTCCTCAGGCCGTCAGTGTTCATCAGTGTTTCAGATGGACCTGTTCTAATGTCATTATTATTGTTGTGTTGTTGGGTTCCTCAGGCCGTCAGTGTTCATCAGTGTTTCAGATGGACCTGTTCTAATGTCATTATTATTGTTGTGTTGTTGTGTTCCTCAGGCCGTCAGTGTTCATCAGTGTTTCAGATGGATCTGTTCTAATGTCATTATTATTGTTGTGTTGTTGTGTTCCTCAGGCCGTCAGTGTTCATCAGTGTTTCAGATGGACCTGTTCTAATGTCATTATTATTGTTGTGTTGTTGTGTTCCTCAGGCCGTCAGTGTTCATCAGTGTTTCAGATGGACCTGTTCTAATGTCATTATTATTGTTGTGTTGTTGAGTTCCTCAGGCCGTCAGTGTTCATCAGTGTTTCAGATGGACCTGTTCTAATGTCATTATTATTGTTGTGTTGTTGAGTTCCTCAGGCCGTCAGTGTTCATCAGTGTTTCAGATGGATCTGTTCTAATGTCATTATTATTGTTGTGTTGTTGAGTTCCTCAGGCCGTCAGTGTTCATCAGTGTTTCAGATGGACCTGTTCTAATGTCATTATTATTGTTGTGTTGTTGAGTTCCTCAGGCCGTCAGTGTTCATCAGTGTTTCAGATGGACCTGTTCTAATGTCATTATTATTGTTGTGTTGTTGGGTTCCTCAGGCCGTCAGTGTTCATCAGTGTTTCAGATGGACCTGTTCTAATGTCATTATTATTGTTGTGTTGTTGGGTTCCTCAGGCCGTCAGTGTTCATCAGTGTTTCAGATGGACCTGTTCTAATGTCATTATTATTGTTGTGTTGTTGGGTTCCTCAGGCCGTCAGTGTTCATCAGTGTTTCAGATGGATCTGTTCTAATGTCATTATTATTGTTGTGTTGTTGGGTTCCTCAGGCCGTCAGTGTTCATCAGTGTTTCAGATGGACCTGTTCTAATGTCATTATTATTGTTGTGTTGTTGTGTTCCTCAGGCCGTCAGTGTTCATCAGTGTTTCAGATGGACCTGTTCTAATGTCATTATTATTGTTGTGTTGTTGAGTTCCTCAGGCCGTCAGTGTTCATCAGTGTTTCAGATGGACCTGTTCTAATGTCATTATTATTGTTGTGTTGTTGAGTTCCTCAGGCCGTCAGTGTTCATCAGTGTTTCAGATGGATCTGTTCTAATGTCATTATTATTGTTGTGTTGTTGGGTTCCTCAGGCCGTCAGTGTTCATCAGTGTTTCAGATGGATCTGTTCTAATGTCATTATTATTGTTGTGTTGTTGGGTTCCTCAGGCCGTCAGTGTTCATCAGTGTTTCAGATGGATCTGTTCTAATGTCATTATTATTGTTGTGTTGTTGGGTTCCTCAGGCCGTCAGTGTTCATCAGTGTTTCAGATGGACCTGTTCTAATGTCATTATTTATGTGTTTTGTTGTTGTGTTCCTCAGGCCGTCAGTGTTCATCAGTGTTTCAGATGGACCTGTTCTAATGTCATTATTATTGTTGTGTTGTTGTGTTCCTCAGGCCGTCAGTGTTCATCAGTGTTTCAGATGGACCTGTTCTAATGTCATTATTATTGTTGTGTTGTTGGGTTCCTCAGGCCGTCAGTGTTCATCAGTGTTTCAGATGGACCTGTTCTAATGTCATTATTATTGTTGTGTTGTTGTGTTCCTCAGGCCGTCAGTGTTCATCAGTGTTTCAGATGGACCTGTTCTAATGTCATTATTATTGTTGTGTTGTTGGTGTTCCTCAGGCCGTCAGTGTTCATCAGTGTTTCAGATGGACCTGTTCTAATGTCATTATTATTGTTGTGTTGTTGGGTTCCTCAGGCCGTCAGTGTTCATCAGTGTTTCAGATGGACCTGTTCTAATGTCATTATTATTGTTGTGTTGTTGTGTTCCTCAGGCCGTCAGTGTTCATCAGTGTTTCAGATGGACCTGTTCTAATGTCATTATTATTGTTGTGTTGTTGGGTTCCTCAGGCCGTCAGTGTTCATCAGTGTTTCAGATGGACCTGTTCTAATGTCATTATTATTGTTGTGTTGTTGGTTCCTCAGGCCGTCAGTGTTCATCAGTGTTTCAGATGGACCTGTTCTAATGTCATTATTATTGTTGTGTTGTTGGGTTCCTCAGGCCGTCAGTGTTCATCAGTGTTTCAGATGGACCTGTTCTAATGTCATTATTATTGTTGTGTTGTTGGGTTCCTCAGGCCGTCAGTGTTCATCAGTGTTTCAGATGGACCTGTTCTAATGTCATTATTATTGTTGTGTTGTTGGGTTCCTCAGGCCGTCAGTGTTCATCAGTGTTTCAGATGGACCTGTTCTAATGTCATTATTATTGTTGTGTTGTTGGTGTTCCTCAGGCCGTCAGTGTTCATCAGTGTTTCAGATGGATCTGTTCTAATGTCATTATTATTGTTGTGTTGTTGTGTTCCTCAGGCCGTCAGTGTTCATCAGTGTTTCAGATGGACCTGTTCTAATGTCATTATTATTGTTGTGTTGTTGTGTTCCTCAGGCCGTCAGTGTTCATCAGTGTTTCAGATGGACCTGTTCTAATGTCATTATTATTGTTGTGTTGTTGGGTTCCTCAGGCCGTCAGTGTTCATCAGTGTTTCAGATGGACCTGTTCTAATGTCATTATTATTGTTGTGTTGTTGGGTTCCTCAGGCCGTCAGTGTTCATCAGTGTTTCAGATGGACCTGTTCTAATGTCATTATTATTGTTGTGTTGTTGGGTTCCTCAGGCCGTCAGTGTTCATCAGTGTTTCAGATGGACCTGTTCTAATGTCATTATTATTGTTGTGTTGTTGGGTTCCTCAGGCCGTCAGTGTTCATCAGTGTTTCAGATGGACCTGTTCTAATGTCATTATTATTGTTGTGTTGTTGGGTTCCTCAGGCCGTCAGTGTTCATCAGTGTTTCAGATGGACCTGTTCTAATGTCATTATTATTGTTGTGTTGTTGGGTTCCTCAGGCCGTCAGTGTTCATCAGTGTTTCAGATGGACCTGTTCTAATGTCATTATTATTGTTGTGTTGTTGGGTTCCTCAGGCCGTCAGTGTTCATCAGTGTTTCAGATGGACCTGTTCTAATGTCATTATTATTGTTGTGTTGTTGGGTTCCTCAGGCCGTCAGTGTTCATCAGTGTTTCAGATGGACCTGTTCTAATGTCATTATTATTGTTGTGTTGTTGGGTTCCTCAGGCCGTCAGTGTTCATCAGTGTTTCAGATGGACCTGTTCTAATGTCATTATTATTGTTGTGTTGTTGTGTTCCTCAGGCCGTCAGTGTTCATCAGTGTTTCAGATGGACCTGTTCTAATGTCATTATTATTGTTGTGTTGTTGGTTCCTCAGGCCGTCAGTGTTCATCAGTGTTTCAGATGGACCTGTTCTAATGTCATTATTATTGTTGTGTTGTTGGGTTCCTCAGGCCGTCAGTGTTCATCAGTGTTTCAGATGGATCTGTTCTAATGTCATTATTATTGTTGTGTTGTTGTGTTTCCTCAGGCCGTCAGTGTTCATCAGTGTTTCAGATGATGGACCTGTTCTAATGTCATTATTATTGTTGTGTTGTTGGGTTCCTCAGGCCGTCAGTGTTCATCAGTGTTTCAGATGGACCTGTTCTAATGTCATTATTATTGTTGTGTTGTTGGGTTCCTCAGGCCGTCAGTGTTCATCAGTGTTTCAGATGGACCTGTTCTAATGTCATTATTATTGTTGTGTTGTTGTGTTCCTCAGGCCGTCAGTGTTCATCAGTGTTTCAGATGGATCTGTTCTAATGTCATTATTATTGTTGTGTTGTTGGGTTCCTCAGGCCGTCAGTGTTCATCAGTGTTTCAGATGGACCTGTTCTAATGTCATTATTATTGTTGTGTTGTTGTGTTCCTCAGGCCGTCAGTGTTCATCAGTGTTTCAGATGGACCTGTTCTAATGTCATTATTATTGTTGTGTTGTTGAGTTCCTCAGGCCGTCAGTGTTCATCAGTGTTTCAGATGGATCTGTTCTAATGTCATTATTATTGTTGTGTTGTTGTGTTCCTCAGGCCGTCAGTGTTCATCAGTGTTTCAGATGGATCTGTTCTAATGTCATTATTATTGTTGTGTTGTTGGGTTCCTCAGGCCGTCAGTGTTCATCAGTGTTTCAGATGGATCTGTTCTAATGTCATTATTATTGTTGTGTTGTTGGGTTCCTCAGGCCGTCAGTGTTCATCAGTGTTTCAGATGGACCTGTTCTAATGTCATTATTATTGTTGTGTTGTTGGGTTCCTCAGGCTCAGTGCCGTCAGTGTTCATCAGTGTTTCAGATGATCTGTTCTAATGTCATGTTATTATTGTTGTGTTGTTGGGTTCCTCAGGCCGTCAGTGTTCATCAGTGTTTCAGATGGACCTGTTCTAATGTCATTATTATTGTTGTGTTGTTGGGTTCCTCAGGCCGTCAGTGTTCATCAGTGTTTCAGATGGACCTGTTCTAATGTCATTATTATTGTTGTGTTGTTGTGTTCCTCAGGCCGTCAGTGTTCATCAGTGTTTCAGATGGATCTGTTCTAATGTCATTATTATTGTTGTGTTGTTGGGTTCCTCAGGCCGTCAGTGTTCATCAGTGTTTCAGATGGACCTGTTCTAATGTCATTATTATTGTTGTGTTGTTGGAGGATGTGTGCCCCATAGACTGTAAACACTTTGTTTATAGTTTCACGTGTGTGTGTTTCTGTGTGTGTGTGTGTATGTGGTTCTGTGTGTGTGTGTGTATGTATGTGGTTCTGTGTGTGTGTGTGTGTGACTGTGTGTGTGTGTGTATGTGTGTGTGTGTGTGTATGTATGTGGTGTGTGTGTATGTATGTGGTTCTGTGTGTGTGTGTGTCTGTGTGTGACTGTGTGTGTGTGTGTGTATGTATGTGGTTCTGTGTGTGTGTGTGTATGTATGTGGTTCTGTGTGTGTGTGTGTGACTGTGTGTGTGTATGTATGTGATTCTGTGTGTGAGACTGTGTGTGTGTGTGACTGTGTGTGAGACTGTGTGTGTGTGTGACTGTGTGTGTGTGAGACTGTGTGTGTGTGATTGTGTGTTTCTGTGTGTGTGTGTGTGTGTGTATGTATGTGGTTCTGTGTGTGTGACTGTGTGTGTGTGTATGTATGTGGTTCTGTGTGTGTGTGTGACTGTGTGTGTGTATGTATGTGGTTCTGTGTGTGAGACTGTGTGTGTGTGTGTGACTGTGTGTGAGACTGTGTGTGTGTGTGACTGTGTGTGTGTGTGTGTGTGACTGTGTGTGTTTGTGAGTAGAGTAGAGTAGAGTATGGCATGGCAAATGGCATAGTCAAGTAGGGTAGAGTATAGTATAGTAGAGTAGAGTAGGGTATGGAAGAGTAGAGTAGAGTAGGGTATGGAAGAGTAGAGTAGAGTAGGGTATGGAAGAGTAGAGTAGGGTATGGAAGAGTAGAGTAGGGTATGGAAGAGTAGAGTAGGGTATGGAAGAGTAGAGTAGGGTATGGAAGAGTAGAGTAGGGTATGGAAGAGTAGAGTAGGGTATGGTAGAGTAGAGTAGGGTATGGTAGAGTAGAGTAGGGTATGGAAGAGTAGAGTAGGGTATGGAAGAGTAGAGTAGGGTATGGAAGAGTAGAGTAGTGTAGGGTATGGAAGAGTAGAGTAGAGTAGGGTAGAGGAGAGTAGGGTATGGAAGAGTAGAGTAGGGTATGGTAGAGTAGAGTATAGTAGGGTATGGAAGAGTAGAGTAGTGTAGGGTATGGAAGAGTAGAGTAGTGTAGGGTAGAGGAGAGTAGGGTATGGAAGTGGAGAGTAGGGTATGGTAGTAGAGTAGAGTAGAGTAGGGTATGGAAGAGTAGAGTAGAGTAGGGTATGGAAGAATAGAGTAGAGTAGGGTATGGAAGAGTAGAGTAGAGTAGGGTATGGAAGAGTAGAGTAGAGTAGGGTATGGAAGAATAGAGTAGAGTAGGGTATGGAAGAGTAGAGTAGAGTAGGGTATGGAAGAGTAGAGTAGGGTATGGAAGAGTAGAGTAGTGTAGGGTATGGTAGAGTAGAGTAGAGTAGGGTATGGTAGAGTAGAGTAGAGTAGGGTATGGTAGAGTAGAGTAGAGTAGGGTATGGAAGAGTAGAGTAGGGTATGGAAGAGTAGAGTAGGGTATGGAGAGTAGAGTAGGGTATGGAAGAGTAGAGTAGGGTATGGAAGAGTAGAGTAGGGTATGGAAGAATAGGGTAGAGTAGAGTAGGGTATGGGAAGAGTAGGGTAGAGTAGGGTATGGTAGAGTAGAGTAGAGTAGGGTATGGTAGAGTAGAGTAGAGTAGGGTATGGAAGAGTAGAGTAGGGTATGGAAGAATAGAGTAGAGTAGGGTATGGAAGAGTAGAGTAGGGTGTGGAAGAGTAGAGTAGGGTATGGAAGAGTAGAGTAGGGTATGGAAGAGTAGAGTAGGGTATGGAAGAATAGGGTAGAGTAGAGTAGGGTATGGTAGAGTAGGGTAGAGAAGGGTATGGAAGAGTGGAGTAGAGTAGTAGGGTATGGTAGAGTAGAGTAGAGTAGGGTATGGAAGAGTAGAGTAGGGTATGGAAGAGTAGAGTAGGGTATGGAAGAATAGAGTAGAGTAGGGTATGGAAGAGTAGAGTAGGGTATGGAAGAGTAGAGTAGGGTATGGAAGAGTAGAGTAGGGTATGGAAGAGTAGAGTAGGGTATGGAAGAGTAGAGTAGGGTATGGAAGAATAGGGTAGAGTAGAGTAGGGTATGGAAGAGTAGGGTATGGTAGAGTAGAGTAGAGTAGGGTATGGTAGAGTAGAGTAGAGTAGGGTATGGAAGAGTAGAGTAGGGTATGGAAGAGTAGAGTAGGGTATGGAAGAATAGAGTAGAGTAGGGTATGGAAGAGTAGAGTAGGGTATGGAAGAGTAGAGTAGGGTATGGAAGAATAGGGTAGAGTAGAGTAGGGTATGGTAGAGTAGGGTAGAGAAGGGTATGGAAGAGTGGAGTAGGGTAGAGTAGAGTAGGGTATGGAAGAGTAGAGTAGGGTACAGTATGATAGTCTGGTGGTGTGTGAATGGTTATTAATATAATCATTATTATAATGTAATGCTAGAGTTAGAGATTTAGTTTTTATTGTAGTATATAGTTCTTGTTCATTTATCTTGTGCTGTGTGCTCCTCGTTCTGTTCTGTACCTTGTGATGCAACACTGACATTTCCCTGTGGGACCAATGTTCATGTTATAGACGCACAAAGACAGGAGTCTGTGGTGACGTCTCACTCTCAACTAAACCTCTTTGTTTCAGGCATTTGTGAAGGACGTTCAGGAGAGTTCTGTCTCTGTCACCTTCGAGAACAAGTGAGTCTGCTTTGGTCTGCTTTAGACCTGCTTTAGACCTGCTTTAGTCCTGCTTTAGACCTGCTTTAGTCCTGCTTTAGACCTGCTTTAGTCCTGCTTTAGACCTGCTTTAGTCCTGCTTTAGTCCTGCTTTAGTCCTGCTTTAGTCCTGCTTTAGACCTGCTTTAGACCTGCTTTAGACCTGCTTTAGACCTGCTTTAGACCTGCTTTAGTCCTGCTTTAGACCTGCTTTAGTCCTGCTTTAGACCTGCTTTAGTCCTGCTTTAGACCTGCTTTAGTCCTGCTTTAGTCCTGCTTTAGTCCTGCTTTAGTCCTGCTTTAGACCTGCTTTAGACCTGCGTTAGACCTGCTTTAGACCTGCTTTAGTCCTGCTTTAGACCTGCTTTAGACCTGCTTTAGTCCTGCTTTAGTCCTGCTTTAGACCTGCTTTAGTCCTGCTTTAGTCCTGCTTTAGACCTGCTTTAGACCTGCTTTAGTCCTGCTTTAGACCTGCTTTAGACCTGCTTTAGTCCTGCTTTAGTCCTGCTTTAGTCCTGCTTTAGACCTGCTTTAGTCCTGCTTTAGTCCTGCTTTAGACCTGCTTTAGACCTGCTTTAGTCCTGCTTTAGACCTGCTTTAGTCCTGCTTTAGTCCTGCTTTAGTCCTGCTTTAGACCTGCTTTAGACCTGCTTTAGTTTTGTGTGTTGTGTGTTGATATGTGTGTTGTGTGGTTATGTGTGTGTTGTGTGTTGATATGTGTGTTGTGTGGTTATGTGTGTGTTGTGTGTTGATATGTGTGTTGTGTGGTTATGTGTGTGTTGTGTGTTGATATGTGTGTGTGTGTGTTGTGTGGTTATGTGTGTGTTGTGTGTTGATATGTATGTGTGTGTTGATATGTGTGTGTGTGTGTTGTGTGGTTATGTGTGTGTTGTGTGTTGATATGTGTGTGTGTTGTGTGTTGATATGTATGTGTGTGTGTTGCAGCTGGCAGCCTGAGAGACAGATCTCCTTCAGTGATGTGCGGTTTCCTCCTCCTCCAGGAGCAACTCTGAAGGAGATCAACGAGAGCGACGAGGTGGAGGTGAGGAACCATGTGTCCTACCATGTGTCCTACCATGTGTCCTACCATGTGTCCAACCATGTGTCCAACCATGTGTCCTACCATGTGGCCAACCATGTGTCCTACCATGTGTCCTACCATGTGTCCAACCATGTGTCCAACCATGTGTCCTACCATGTGTCCTACCATGTGTCCAACCATGTGTCCAACCATGTGTCCTACCATGTGTCCTACCATGTTTCCTACCATGTGTCCTACCATGTGTCCAACCATGTGTCCAACCATGTGTCCAACCATGTGTCCTACCATGTGTCCTACCATGTGTCCTACCATGTGTCCAACCATGTGTCCTACCTTGTGTCAACCCTCGCTCTTTCTTTATCCCTTGGCCACCCATAAAGCCGGTTGTGCGTTTGAGAGCAGTACATAGCAATACACCGCCTTGTCATGTTGAATATTCATGAAAAAAAGACTACCAAATACCAAACTACTAACTAACTAACTAACTAACTAACTAACTAACTAACTAACTAATTAACAGCTGGTTGAAACCCACCCGCTCTGACGTCACGTGGCTGTGGATATTTTTTCGTCTCTAAGGGGGTTGCTATGATCTTTTCTCAATTTGTATTTTAATATATTAAATTCTAGTACTACTTTAACTCGGCTGTAGACAGAATGAGAGGCAGTGAAGGGATTTTCTAAAAGTTAAAACAAAATCAATTGGATCCGAGCTTCTGAGTTTTGTGTTGGATTAATTCTAACTTTCACAAGATGGCTTAAATGTTTAGAGTAAAAGGCTATGAGCTTCTAAATACTTACATTTCAATCAGCAGCTAGCAAGACAAGGAGTAAACATCATTGAATCAACATCATCCTGTGTCATCAGCGTCATGTCAGTGTGCCCCAGGGCAGCTGTGGCTACAGTAGTTTATCACCACCGTGTATGGAGAGAAAGAATGATGACATGTGAAGTGGGTTTGAGTGTCCTGAAAAGCACTGTATAAAACCAATGCATTATTATTATTATCCTTGACCCAACAAGAAAGCTGAAAGTATATCAGTAAAGCACTTTATTTCCAAGGTTACGTGGCTCTGGATTGAGTTATTTGGCTGCCAACACATGACAAAACTAAAAAGAAAAAATGCTCAAGAGTTTACAACTTATAAACGTAACTCTTTCTTGTTCATTTCTGTTATTTAAACTTTCCAAAAACATGTCTCCTTCTTTCATGTACACTGACAAACTGCTGACAAACATCTTCAAGATCAAGTTTGTCCAGAGACGTTTGATGAACATGACTTACAATGACATGGTTGAGGCGTTTCTGAGTCATGGTTGACCTTAACCAAGTTTTAAGTCTTTTTAAGTGCACTAAAGCTTCTTTCAGCTTCTGCTGAGGCCACGGGGACAACAATAGCCTGACTAGTTTCTCTACCTCTTCAAATAAGGCTCTAACTTCAGGTGACATCTCCTTCAGAGTATCAACAACCTCTACAACTGATTTAAATCTGTACCTTGAAAGAAGCATTGGAAGCTGAACCTTCACATTTTCCACATGTATCTCTGGATATTGTTCAATCACATCAATTCTCCCGGTGAGGAGAACATTCTCGATCTGTATTAACCTTTCCAAATCCGGTTGATTGAAGCGCTCTTTGATTTGGAGATCGACAAAGTCCTTGAAGTATTCGATTCTGAAGTACTCCTCTGGAGAACTTGGCCTGTAAGGTGTCCCATCACTGAACCTTTTGGGGGGTTTTCTCAGATGAGAAATTTCAATTGGTCGGAGTCCCACAGAAACAACCAGGTCCACAGCTTTCTTAAACAGTTGAGCAAACTTTTCCTCACTCCTTTTCTTTTGCCATGCAGACCTCACAGAGCCAACAGATGATTTCATACCTGCAACTGTTACAGAGCGTTTTTCCAGTGAGCGGTTCAAGCACTCCAGCTCTCCTAAAACCTCTGAGGCCACTACCAGTCCAAGAACAGTTTGACCCTTTAAGAATTGCTCCAGGAGACCACTAAGGAAGACGCACTACATGCAGACTGGGTCACAAGATTGACGCAATGTGCGCCACGATGCACATACAAAGCCAGAGAACTTTCCAGCCATATTGGCCGCTCCATCATAAGTCTGACCTCGCAAGCCTGACATTGGAAGGTTCAATCTGAGAAGCATGTCAGCGGCAACCTTAGCCATCTGCTCTCCTGTTGTTCCTTGCACCTCATACAGTCCCACAAAATCCTCCTGTGGTACAAGGTCTTTGTCCACATACCTAAGGCATATTTGCACTTGCTCCTTTCCTTGTATATCTTGTGTACCATCCATGATAATCGAAAACTGAACAACTGGCATAGATATGACCAATGAAGCAATTTCTCTTACAGTTGAGTTTCCAAACAATTGAAGGTACTCATTTTGGCACTGCGGACGCACATAATCATGTCTCCTACTGAGCCACAAGGACAGAATAGGATCATCCTTTGCAATTAGCAAAGCAAGATTGTGTAAATTTCCTTCATCCACTTCATGCCCTCTGAAAGCGAGCCCCTGCCGTGCAAGACATCGACACACTCCATTATACGCATAAGGCAGTGTCTAACCTTGTGCTTTGGCCACTGCACTGGACAACTGTGTGTGAACTGGTACTTTCCCAAGTGCGTTGATTGTTACTGCATGAATGTGTGCTTTGCTTATTTGGTGTCAATTAAATCGATCAGCAGCATTTTTCCAGTTACCATATCCAACTGAGCAGAATGCAGGCTCCTTCCGTTTTTCCACAGTGGTCTTCATTATGGTATTTGCTTTCACACAATCAAAACAAAGCATTTTCTTAATGCAACCAGGGAAACCGTCTGTACCAGGAAGCCTGAAATGACAACTTCTTGTTGGGCAGTTGCTGCTTTTCAACGTATTCAGGATCAGGCTGATATGGTTTACACCCTATATCAAATATGCTGTCCCTGCACTTTCTTGAGAACCACTTTCATTGGCTGCCTCCTAAATAGCAAATACACATTTTTTACTTTAAAAAATACCATATTTTATCTTCATTATTCCTTCTATATCTGCCTGCACTACATCTTCCCTGGATGCCTGAGTGTCCTAATAAAACACATCAGAACAAATCAGATCTAAGCACCAACAAAACCAAATAAATACTTTAACCTCACCTGAATGTCCAGCCACTTCCTCATCATCTACCACTGTACATTCTCTCACCTGAGGCCCTGAAGGTCCAGCCACTTCCTCATCATCTACCACTGTACATTCTCTCACCTGAAGCCCTGAAGGTCCAGCCACTTCCTCATCATCTACCACTGTACATTCTCTCACCTGAAGCCCTGAAGGTCCAGCCACTTCCTCATCATCTACCACTGTACATTCTCTCACCTGAGGCCCTGAAGGTCCAGCCACTTCCTCATCATCTACCACTGTACATTCTCTCACCTGAAGCCCTGAAGGTCCAGCCACTTCCTCATCATCTAGCACTGTACATTCTCTCACCTGAAGCCCTGAAGGTCCAGCCACTTCCTCATCATCTACCACTGTACATTCTCTCACCTGAAGCCCTGAAGGTCCAGCCACTTCCTCATCATCTACCACTGTACATTCTCTCACCTGAAGCCCTGAAGGTCCAGCCACTTCCTCATCATCTACCACTGTACATTCTCTCACCTGAAGCCCTGAAGGTCCAGCCACTTCCTCATCATCTACCACTGTACATTCTCTCACCTGAAGCCCTGAAGGTCCAGCCACTTCCTCATCATCTAGCACTGTACATTCTCTCACCTGAAGCCCTGAAGGTCCAGCCACTTCCTCATCATCTACCACTGTACATTCTCTCACCTGAAGCCCTGAAGGTCCAGCCACTTCCTCATCATCTACCACTGTACATTCTCTCACCTGAAGCCCTGAAGGTCCAGCCACTTCATCATCATCTACCACTGTACATTCTCTCACCTGAAGTCCTGAAGGTCCAGCCACTTCCTCATCATCTAGCACTGTACATTCTCTCACCTGAAGCCCTGAAGGTCCAGCCACTTCCTCATCATCTACCACTGTACATTCTCTCACCTGAAGCCCTGAAGGTCCAGCCACTTCCTCATCATCTAGCACTGTACATTCTCTCACCTGAAGGTCCAGCCACTTCCTCATCATCTACCACTGTACATTCTCTCACCTGAAGCCCTGAAGGTCCAGCCACTTCCTCATCATCTACCACTGTACATTCTCTCACCTGAAGCCCTGAAGGTCCAGCCACTTCCTCATCCTCAGTGTAAGCTGTGCTTACACTGAGCTGTGCTTACACTGAGCTGTGCTTACACTGAGCTGTGCTTAGAGCTGTGCTTACACTGAGCTGTGAGCGCCTGTCATTACAAAGCAGCTGCATCACTCGAATGTGCGTACATCAAACAACATCAAGTGCCCGCGTCACACATTTCACAGAAATGACATATTTTGCGGATAAAGGTTGTAAATCGTGGATATTTTCATCCCTGGTTTATACTGATGCACACAACACACTTATACAGTGCCTTGCGAAAGTATTCGGCCCCCTTGAACCTTTCAACATTTCGCCACATTTCAGGCTTCAAACATAAAGATATAAAATTTTAATTTTTTGTCATGAATCAACAACAAGTGGGACACAATCGTGAAGTGGAACGAAATGTATTGGATAATTTAAACTTTTTTAACAAATAAAAAACTGAAAAGTGGGGCGTGCAATATTATTGGGCCCCTTTACTTTCAGTGCAGCAAACTCAGTCCAGAAGTTCAGTGAGGATCTTTGAATGATCCAATGTTGTCCTAAATGATTGATGATGATAAATAGAATGCACCTGTGTGTAATCAAGTCTCCGTATAAATGCACCTGCTCTTTGATAGTCTCAGGGTTCTGTTTAAAGCACAGAGAGAACCATGAAGACAAAGGAACACACCAGGCAGGTCCGAGATACTGTTGTGGAGAAGTTTAAAGCCGGATTTGGATACAAAAAGATTTCCCAAGCTTTAAACATCTCAAGGAGCACTGTGCAAGCAATTATATTGAAATGGAAGGAGTATCAGACCACTGCAAATCTACCAAGACCCGGCCGTCCCTCCAAACTTTCATCTCAAACAAGGAGAAGACTGATCAGAGATGCAGCCAAGAGGCCCATGATCACTCTGGATGAACTGCAGATAACTACAGCTGAGGTGGGAGAGTCTGTCCATAGGACAACAATCAGTCGTTCACTGCACAAATCTGGCCTTTATGGAAGAGTGGCAAGAAGAAAGCCATTTCTCAAAGATATCCATAAAAAGTCTGGTTTAAAGTTTGCCACAAGCCACCTGGGAGACACACCAAACATGTGGAAGAAGGTGCTCTGGTCAGATGAAACCAAAATCAAACTTTTTGGCCACAATGCAAAACGATATGTTTGGCGTAAAAGCAACACAGCTCATCACCCTGAACACACCATCCCCACTGTCAAACATGGTGGTGGCAGCATCATGCTTTGGGCCTGCTTTTCTTCAGCAGGGACAGGGAAGATGGCTAAAATTGATGGGAAGATGGATGGAGCCAAATACAGGACCATTCTGGAAGAAAACCTGTTGGAGTCTGCAAAAGACCTGAGACTGGGACGGAGATTTATCTTCCAACAGGACAATGATCCAAAACATAAAGCCAAATCTACAATGGAATGGTTCACAAATAGACGTATCCAGGTGTTAGAATGGCCAAGTCAAAGTCCAGACCTGAATCCAATCCAGAATCTGTGGAAAGAGCTGAAGACTGCTGTTCACAAACGCTCTCCATCCAACCTCACTGAGCTCCAGCTGTTTTGCAAGGAAGAATGGGAAAGAATTCCAGTCTCTCGATGTGCAAAACTGATAGAGACATACCCCAAGCGACTTGCAGCTGTAATTGCAGCAAAAGGTGGCGCTACAAAGTATTAGTGCAAGGGGCCGAATAATATTGCACGCCCCACTTTTAAGTTTTTTATTTGTTAAAAAAGTTTAAATTATCCAATACATTTCGTTCCACTTCACGATTGTGTCCCACTTGTTGTTGATTCTTGACAAATAAAATCATTTTTATTCAATCAATCCTTTATTATCTCACAGATGGAGAAATTCAGTTCGATGAATAAACATCAAGGCCGGCTGCGTACTCTAATTCAACAGCAGAGAGCAAAACAGACACATATTTTAACAAACATGGGAGAGACACAGTACATGTGGAAAACATGCAGATCTTTTTAATGGGAAGTCATCACTCTGACCCGCCTCGTCCAAGCGCGTCAGAGGGGAGTGTGGGGGGGGAGGTGGAGGGGAAGACCACCATAGACTGAAAAGAGAGGGAGGCAGACATGTAGAAGGGGGGGGGGCTGTAACTGGTGTTCTAGGTTTATATCTTTATGTTTGAAGCCTGATGTGGCAAAATGTTTAAAGGTTCAAGGGGGCCGAATACTTTCGCAAGGCACTGTACATTTTGGATATAGAGCACTGTTAGTATTTTTTCAGCCTTTCAACCTGTTTCTTTATTGGAACCAGTTCTGCTCTGTCTCTGTGCCGTGTGAGCTGAACTTTAAACAGTGTGCTGACAGATTAGAAATAACATAAGTACTTTGAATGGAGATAGATCTAGTACCCTGCATGTCCCCATGGTCCCCACGCAAACCTACGCCCTTGGTCCCGCCCACAAGAAAAATGTGAAAAAACCACACAGCGACTAAACTAGACTGGTCCACAACAGCATTGACACACATGTGGAACGGAGCTTTGGGCCAAACGACAACTTTTGGACCATCCTCTAAAGACGTTTTCCAGAGATCTGCTAATGCTATATGTTAGCATTGGCTAATTCTTATTCTGGGTCCACCCCCACAGGCCCGGGGTGGTATTGCAACATGTCAGCGCACGTCATTTTGGACACTTTTGAGCCGGGACCCGCCCCCACTGGTCCTACCATGTGTCTGGGGATCACTGAGGGAGGGGGGCTGTTTCCTGAACCCATGGTTTTGAATCAAAGATGTTGAATGTCCATGTTCCAGGTTTACTCCAGAGCCAACGACAAGGAGCCGTGCGGCTGGTGGCCCGCTAAGGTCCGCATGGTTAAAGGAGAGGTACGTCCCAACTATACCCCCTACTACACCCGCTAAGGTCCACATGGTTAAAGGAGAGGTACGTCCCCTTCTATACCCCTACTACACCGCTAAGGTCCACACATGGTTAAAGGAGAGGTACGTCCCCTTCTATACCCCCCTACTACACCCGCTAAGGTCCACATGGTTAAAGGAGAGGTACGTCCCCTTCTATACCCCCTACTACACCCGCTAAGGTCCACATGGTTAAAGGAGAGGTACGTCCCTTCTGTACCCCCTACTACACCCGCTAAGGTCCGCATGGTTAAAGGAGAGGTACGTCCCCTTCTATACCCCCTACTACACCCGCTAAGGTCCACATGGTTAAAGGAGAGGTACGTCCCCTTCTATACCCCCCTACTACACCCGCTAAGGTCCACATGGTTAAAGGAGAGGTACGTCCCCTTCTATACCCCCTACTACACCCGCTAAGGTCCACATGGTTAAAGGAGAGGTACGTCCCCTTCTATACCCCTACTACACCCGCTAAGGTCCACATGGTTAAAGGAGAGGTACGTCCCCTTCTATACCCCCTACTACACCCGCTAAGGTCCACATGGTTAAAGGAGAGGTACGTCCCCTTCTATACCCCCTACTACACCCGCTAAGGTCCGCATGGTTAAAGGAGAGGTACATCCCCTTCTATACCCCAATCTACACCCCCGCTAAGGTCCACATGGTTAAAGGAGAGGTACGTCCCCTTCTATACCCCCTACTACACCCGCTAAGGTCCACATGGTTAAAGGAGAGGTACGTCCCCTTCTATACCCCCTACTACACCCGCTAAGGTCCACATGGTTAAAGGAGAGGTACGTCCCCTTCTATACCCCCTACTACACCGCTAAGGTCCACATGGTTAAAGGAGAGGTACGTCCCTTCTATACCCCCTACTACACCCGCTAAGGTCCACATGGTTAAAGGAGAGGTACGTCCCCTTCTATACCCCCTACTACACCCGCTAAGGTCCACATGGTTAAAGGAGAGGTACGTCCCCTTCTATACCCCCTACTACACCCGCTAAGGTCCACATGGTTAAAGGAGAGGTACGTCCCCTTCTATACCCCCTACTACCCCGCTAAGGTCCACATGGTTAAAGGAGAGGTACGTCCCCTTCTATACCCCCTACTACACCCGCTAAGGTCCACATGGTTAAAGGAGAGGTACGTCCCCTCTATACCCCCTACTACACCCGCTAAGGTCCACATGGTTAAAGGAGAGGTACGTCCCTTCTATACCCCCTACTACACCCGCTAAGGTCCACATGGTTAAAGGAGAGGTACGTCCCCTTCTATACCCCCTACTACACCCGCTAAGGTCCACATGGTTAAAGGAGAGGTACGTCCCCTTCTATACCCCCTACTACACCCGCTAAGGTCCACATGGTTAAAGGAGAGGTACGTCCCCTTCTATACCCCCTACTACACCCGCTAAGGTCCACATGGTTAAAGGAGAGGTACGTCCCCTTCTATACCCCCTACTACACCCGCTAAGGTCCACATGGTTAAAGGAGAGGTACGTCCCCTTCTATACCCCCTACTACACCCGCTAAGGTCCCATGGTTAAAGGAGAGTACGTCCCCTTCTATACCCCTACTACACCCGCTAAGGTCCGCATGGTTAAAGGAGAGGTACGTTCCCCTTCTATACCCCCTACTACACCCGCTAAGGTCCACATGGTTAAAGGAGAGGTACGTCCCCTTCTATACCCCCTACTACACCCGCTAAGGTCCACATGGTTAAAGGAGAGGTACGTCCCCTTCTATACCCCCTACTACACCCGCTAAGGTCCACATGGTTAAAGGAGAGGTACGTCCCCTTCTATACCCCCTACTACACCCGCTAAGGTCCACATGGTTAAAGGAGAGTACGTCCCTCTATATCCCCTACTACACCCGCTAAGGTCCACATGGGAGAGGTACGTCCCCTTCTATACCCCCTACTACACCGCTAAGGTCCACATGGTTAAAGGAGAGGTACGTCCCCTTCTATACCCCCCTACTACACCCGCTAAGGTCCCATGGTTAAAGGAGAGGTACATCCCCTTCTATACCCCCCTACTACACCCGCTAAGGTCCACATGGTTAAAGGAGAGGTACGTCCCCTTCTATACCCCCTACTACACCCGCTAAGGTCCACATGGTTAAAGGAGAGGTACGTCCCCTTCTATACCCCCTACTACACCCGCTAAGGTCCACATGGTTAAAGGAGAGGGTACGTCCCCTTCTATACCCCCTACTACACCCGCTAAGGTCCACATGGTTAAAGGAGAGGTACGTCCCCTTCTATACCCCCCTACTACACCCGCTAAGGTCCACATGGTTAAAGGAGAGGTACGTCCCCTTCTATACCCCCTACTACACCCCTAAGGTCCACATGGTTAAAGGAGAGGTACGTCCCCTTCTATACCCCTACTACACCCGCTAAGGTCCACATGGTTAAAGGAGAGGTACGTCCCCTTCTATACCCCCTACTACACCCGCTAAGGTCCACATGGTAAAGGAGAGGTACGTCCCCTTCTATACCCCCTACTACACCCGCTAAGGTCCACATGGTTAAAGGAGAGGTACGTCCCCTTCTATACCCCCTACTACACCCGCTAAGGTCCACATGGTTAAAGGAGAGGTACGTCCCCTTCTATACCCCCTACTACACCCGCTAAGGTCCACATGGTTAAAGGAGAGGTACGTCCCCTTCTATACCCCCTACTACACCCGCTAAGGTCCGCATGGTTAAAGGAGAGGTACATCCCCAACTATACCCCCTACTACACCCGCTAAGGTCCACATGGTTAAAGGAGAGGTACGTCCCCTTCTATACCCCCTACTACACCCCTAAGGTCCACATGGTTAAAGGAGAGGTACGTCCCCTTCTATACCCCCTACTACACCCGCTAAGGTCCACATGGTTAAAGGAGAGGTACGTCCCCTTCTATACCCCCTACTACACCCGCTAAGGTCCACATGGTTAAAGGAGAGGTACGTCCCCTTCTGTACCCCCTACTACACCCGCTAAGGTCCGCATGGTTAAAGGAGAGGTACGTCCCCTTCTATACCCCTACTACACCCCGCTAAGGTCCACATGGTTTAAAGGAGAGGTACGTCCCCTTCTATACCCCCTACTACACCCGCTAAGGTCCACATGGTTAAAGGAGAGGTACGTCCCCTTCTATACCCCCTACTACACCCGCTAAGGTCCACATGGTTAAAGGAGAGGTACGTCCCCTTCTATACCCCCTACAACACCCGCTAAGGTCCACATGGTTAAAGGAGAGGTACGTCCCCTTCTATACCCCCTACTACACCCGCTAAGGTCCGCATGGTTAAAGGAGAGGTACGTCCCCTTCTATACCCCTACTACACCGCTAAGGTCCACATGGTTAAAGGAGAGGTACGTCCCCTTCTATACCCCCTACTACACCCGCTAAGGTCCACATGGTTAAAGGAGAGGTACGTCCCCTTCTAATACCCCCTACTACACCCGCTAAGGTCCACATGGTTAAAGGAGAGGTACGTCCCCTTTTATACCCCTACTACACCCGCTAAAGGTCCACATGGTTAAAGGAGAGGTACGCCCCCTTCTATACCCCCTACTACACCCGCTAAGGTCCACATGGTTAAAGGAGAGGTACGTCCCTTCTATACCCCCTACTACACACCCGCTAAGGTCCACATGGTTAAAGGAGAGGTACGTCCCCTTCTATAAACCCCCTACTACACCCGCTAAGGTCCACATGGTTAAAGGAGAGGTACGTCCCCTTCTATACCCCCTACTACACCCGCTAAGGTCCACATGGTTAAAGGAGAGGTACGTCCCCTTCTATACCCCCTACTACACCCGCTAAGGTCCACATGGTTAAAGGAGAGGTACGTCCCCTTCTATACCCCCTACTACACCCGCTAAGGTCCACACCCCTACGGGTTTAAAGGAGAGGTACGTCCCCTTCTATACCCCCTACTACACCCGCTAAGGTCCACATGGTTAAAGGAGAGGTACGTCCCCTTCTATACCCCCTACTACACCCGCTAAGGTCCACATGGTTAAAGGAGAGGTACGTCCCCTTCTATACCCCCTACTACACCCGCTAAGGTCCACATGGTTAAAGGAGAGGTACGTCCCCTTCTATACCCCCTACTACACCCGCTAAGTTCCACATGGTTAAAGGAGAGGTACGTCCCCTTTACCCCCTATACACCCGCCCCACTAAAGGAGAGGTACTATACCCCCTACTACACCCGCTAAGGTCCACATGGTTAAAGGAGAGTACGTCCCCTTCTATACCCCTACTACACCCGCTAAGGTCCACATGGTTAAAGGAGAGGTACGTCCCCTTCTATACCCCTACTACACCCGCTAAGGTCCACATGGTTAAAGGAGAGGTACGTCCCCTTCTATACCCCTACTACACCCCTAAGGTCCACATGGTTAAAGGAGAGGTACGTTCCCCTTCTATACCCCCTACTACACCCGCTAAGGTCCACATGGTTAAAGGAGAGGTACGTCCCTTCTATACCCCCTACTACACCCGCCTAAGGTCCACATGGTTAAAGGTGAGGTACGTCCCCTTCTATACCCCCTACTACACCCGCTAAGGTCCACATGGTTAAAGGAGAGGTACGTCCCCTTCTATACCCCCTACTACACCCGCTAATGTCCACATGTTAAGGAGAGGTACTTTCCCCTTCTATACCCCCTACTACACCCCGCTAAGGTCCACATGGTTAAAGGAGAGGTACGTCCCCTTCTATACCCCCTACTACACCCCTAAGGTCCACATGGTTAAAGGAAGGTACGTCCCCTTCTATACCCCCTACTACACCCGCTAAGGTCCACATGGTTAAAGGAGAGGTACTCCCCTTCTATTACCCCTACTACACCCGCTAAGGTCCACATGGTTAAAGGAGAGGTACGGCCCCTTCTATACCCCCTACTACACCCCGCTAAGGTCCACAGGTTAAAGGAGAGGTACGTCCCCTTCTATACCCC